GATGTGTTCAGCGCCAATATAATATAACCTAATAAACTGCATTCTTGTGCATAATAATGAAAATTAATGAATCGAAAAAATAATATATGTGTATTAATTCCCATTTTAGCCACTTGAATTATGAAAAACACAAGATAAAAAATATATTGAAAATAAAAGTGCTTTCATAAACTAGCACTTGCTACAGAATGCGCCGCCGCAGGCTATATTTAGTAAACAAATATTCAAAACTCTCAACATCACTGGGCGTTTTCAATGACATCGTGTGTAGAGATGGATCACTGGGAGGAGCTTACGCACTTTCGATGACCCCTGACATCACAGGGCATTGTTTCGCCGGTGTGAAAAAATACTACAAATTACATCTTAGGGGATTGTCACATGTTTGAAAAGTTTGTGGTACTGTTTCTAAAGGTAGGCCGCATCAGACTCTCAAGTTCTTGGAAGTTGTTATGGAACTGATTTAGATACAAACTCACCTGTACATTACATATTTTTTTATACATTTCATACATTAATCAGTCTCTATTCATTATGTTCATGTTAAAATGTGATGATAACTGCTGACTCGAATACACAAATCTGATTGATTAGTTCTCATAAACATATGCCTATCTACCCATTTTAGATATTTGGGAGACAGTATTCCCTGATGTCGTCACTCAGCAATATTCCAGCTATAGACATGATAGAAGGGCGGTCTGCAAATAATCGAGTCTTGACAAGATAATCAAGTGACTGACATGAGCATCAATCTACACAGTTGAGATACGATGACATGCATCAACAAAGTCAGCAAGCCTGACAACCCATTGAAATGTCATAAATGTGACATAAGGGCGGACATACTATATTCAGGAGATGCTGTTTTGTGCAAGAACTTGTATGCACCTACCAAACAAGGATACAGAAATAACCCAAGCGTGGCAACATAAACACTGCTTCATCAGGACTGAAGGTGATCAGTACTGATTAGTAGTGATTACAGGAAAATGCACACTTCTACAGCACGAATTATCAAGCTACTTCAGCTGAAATTCCTGATAGAAACAGTCAAGGCCAGGGGTAGTGATCAAGCACTGAGGTTGAGGGGATACATTCTGAGATGCAGTAACAGACGGAGCATCAAAAGCGCTGGCTTCATCTTTACGCTGCTGAGTAACTATCAATATGTGGATTTACTTCTAGAATATGGATTGAACCTCGAAAAACACCACCACCATGACCTACATACCATGCTCGTGGACAACCGGAAATACGAATCTTTATCAACAGCTACAACATTGAATCTGTACGAAAATGATTTATCTGTCATTGGTTCAAACTGTATTATGACAAAAATATGTATTTGAAAACACCGGTTTGTCTCAACGTGTAGATCGATGTGTTGTTTACAACTTGGTATAGGCGATGGAATATGCAAACAGGTTTCCGTCTCCTTGTGTTTTGGTAAGTATGCAATCACTACAGACATAAAATAAGCAAATTTGATAGTAAATATATTACTTAGAGACTCCGCAGTGTGTTTGGAGTGGTCTGTCGAAGCTGTATCATCCAGATCCCCTACGAGAGAGAAATTATTAAGACGTAAATACTACAGAGCTTCACGTTGAGCGCCATTTTCCTGTACAAAAGGGGAATTGACAAAGGACGCAGGCGCAGTAGCTCTTGAAAAAGTTGGGTTAGCAACATTTCAATGGGCTCCGTTTCGTATTCTTTCAAAGGGACATAATAACTTCCTTTGCGTGCATATTTAGAGTTGCTTCCCTTTTAATAATTATTTTATGTGCGTTTCAAGAGTTTTCAAGAATCATAGCGGAATCCTCTGATAAAAAATGATATTTAGAAGTAAATTCAAGAAATGCAATTTGTTGGATTTGAAAGAAAACTACACCATTATTGACACTGTCTTTTATTTTTAGTGACAACCATTTCCATCTTCGTTTCAATTGTCATTCTTTCAAAAAGGAGAGAGCTAATATTTTGGGATAATAATTAAAATGCATTATTTCATGTTCATCGATGAGAATTGTGTCCCAGGGCCCATTTACATGCTAATGAATGCAAGAATGTTAACCATTAGTTAGATTATGATCTAATGTGTTATTATAATATATTTTGTATAGAACATAACTTCTAATTACGTACTTACCAAAAATTTGTTTCAAAGGTAAATGACGAAACACGTTTTCCTTTTTAAAAGATATATTTTTTTGACACGTGAATATGGAATTAGAATCCTTTTGAAAATAACGCGAGCGAAGAATGAGTTTCCCTTTCAGATGTCAACGTATAATTGGGACAGTCACGCTAATCCTACACATTTGTAGTTACCTCCCTTACACCACAGCGCGCGCTGACTCGCTCAAGAGCCGGGGCGGCAACTCTACCAATACACATGTAACTTACCTCCCTTCAACCAGCCTTCGTGCTGATAAGACTCAGGCTAATATCATCTCTATTTAAGTAAATGTTTAGAATTTTTAATGGTTTGATCACGTGTTTTAGGTTGAAATGGCTGTGTGTGTGTGTGTGTGGGTGGGGGGGGGGGGGGGGGGGGGGGGGGTGGGGGGGGAATGTGAGTGTTATCAACATGACAATGAGTATTATCATGGATAACAAGTTCTTTATCTTACATACACATTCAGGGAATTATCAATCACTGCTTACATAGTTTGATGTCAAAAGACAACTTTGGAAAAAATCAAAGACAAAAGTACATACATATTTTACAAATGTGTAACAAAGTTTAACACAATGGTAGTCGAAATCGTAGAGCTGAGTCAGAAGTGTTTCACATTGCTTTGAGCAGTATTTCAGTCATAAGCCACATGCGCCAGGGTTGCAGCTCTGTACATCGAATTGTAACCAGCGCTGAAGTCGAGAATCATAGACTGACAGTCAACTGGGCAAATATACAGCTTTAAAGATCAATCTGAAAATGATACTTATTGCCCAATTTCAAGGTCGCATATTATGCGATTAGCTCCAAACATATTTTAACCACGACGGCACTGCATTGTTACCTAGTATTGTGAAGTCACGGCACTATTTTATGAAGTCATGGCATCAATGGAATGTCGCTGCACGTTAGAAATTGAGGGAAATACGTACATGGGAACACATTTATCTATTGATAAAGTGAGTGAGTAAGTATGGTTTTACGCCGCTTTTAGTAATATTCCAGCAATATCACGGCGGGGGAAAACCAGAAACGGGCTTCACCCGATCGCCCCCCTCCCCCCAACCCCATCCTTAACTTCACATACAGAGGGCTGATGGATAGTTTCAGCAAGCAGGACGGGGCCTTTAACACATGCTCATTTTGTGTCAAAGCTCTTCAGACAACTCCACGCTGAAAAACATGCGTTTTCTCACCACAAATCTCCAATCTTATTAAAATCAGATTGTAGTTCGCTACCGCTTAACAAATTCTCGATTAAACATGTGAAAACCGAACAAAAGATCCTGGAATTACAAAAAGATGGCTCAGATTGTATGGATTCAGTTGTTAAGCCCATAACTGCCGCTTGGAATACCCCGGGTTCATTTTTCGAGGTTGCATGATTAGAAAACACACTCCGACTGTCTGTGACTTGGGTCTCGCCCCCCAACACCATCTTCGAGCTGCAGCTATTGTGAGGTGAAATGGGGTTGATCGTAGTCTACAATATTATTGCACTCATGTAACGCCATGTGTGCGTGCGTTCGTGCGTGCGTGTGTGCGTGCGTGCGAGCGAATGTGCCAGTTCACTTTACGATGGATACCCTACTCGGACTCCGCACAGAGACTCCAATACGAACAGTCCTAGTTATATCCCCTTGAAGCCGGACGTCACGCAGGATAAGCAAAAAGTACAATCTTTTAACGTCTTTTGGTATGACGCGACCAGTGCAACGAACCACTACACTCTCAGGGAAGATGGTCTTGCCACAAGTCCACAAAGGCGGTCACACAACTATTGTTAGTCAACGTTATACTTCGCCTGGAGCTACAACTATTACAAGTCTTTTATACGGAGTCAAGAGCTACCACAATATTAGATGCAGTCGCCCTAAAGCCTGTTTTCTCGGATTCTCCTTAAGTCTTGGCATGGTGCTTGTATCGATACACGAATGTTGGATCCACGTATTGGGGTGCCGTTTATCAGAAAAGGCACAAGGAAACACAAGTGAATTTTGATTTTCATGGAAAGCATTCGGGACATAGTACCATGGACATTTGCTTAGCTGTGTTTTGGCGACCCACTAAATCCACAAATCGTGTCACTTTTTGGCCGTTTACATTAAATTTGGATACAGACTAATGTTAAAAGACGACATACCAATACCAAAAACAAAATGACAAGATATTTCAGTGGGGAACTTTAATGAATTATTTTTATGAAGTGACCTTTCTTTTGCAGTTCAGTATATTTGAAGTTTAGGTTATGCCGAGTCTTGAGCTACAACCATTTCAAGTATGTTTTATTAATCTAGAGCTACAACTATTAGGCTATATTTAGTCAAGAGTTACAACTATTTCATGTATGTTCTAATGAGTCAAGATCTATAAATATTTTAAGTTTGTTATACAGAGTAAATAGCTACAACTATTTTAAGCTATAGATATTGTAAGTATGTCATAATTAGTCTAGAAATAAAACTATTTTAAGTAAGTTATGCTGATCTCTAGAGCTACAACTATTTTAAGTGTGTAATATTTAGTCTTGAGCTACAACTATTTTAAGTGTGTAATATTTAGTCTAGAGCTACAACTATTTTAAGTGTGTAATATTTAGTCTAGAGCTACAACTATTTCATATATATTATACCAAGTCAAGAGCTACAAGTATTTTAAGTCTATGGGTTTTTTTAAGTCTAGAGCTACAACTTTTTTAAGTCTATGTTATATAAAAGTCTAGAGCTACATCTCTACATCAACTTAAGATCATTTTGTGACAGGCTTCTGGCCATGTACCATCTCTTGTATACCACCAGCCAACAGAAAAAGATAATACTGTTGTATAAAAATATTTTATTTTCATAAGAATGAAGGAATTATACAAGTGTACAAAAAGACATCTGAGTAATGTGTTGACACTGGAGCAGGTCAATGGCGGTCATTCCCTGGAGCTGAAGCCAATGACAAGCCCTCATCCTTCTCTCAACCAAAATTCTGTTATGTATTTATACAATAGGAAACACTTTGAAATCAAATGTTCTGTTTAGGTTACAAATTCTCCCTCTCTGAAATGTGCAGTTAACTGAAATTAATTCAATGAAATGGTTCATAAACTATTCCTTATGAAACCAAATGAAGAAATTTCAAAGTTTATAAATATTGTGTGAATATACTTTACACTGATAACATGTACCAATAATGGAGAGCTATGACCTCAGGATCAAAATATACATACCTCAGACATCGACATTCACACAAATATTACCTCCTAAAATTTCGAAAAAAAAAACACAGGTGACACTTAAGAAAAACAAGAAAAGTAAATTAGACACATTTTAAACCCATACATCCGGATGTACAAATGCCCATGAGCTTAATGTATTACGTTTCATTTCTTCTACTTTTAAAACTATTCCGGTGTGTCAAAATACCAACAAATAAACACAACTCTGAATGTACTTAGTCTCATGAAGCTCACACTAAACTAACCTTCATGGTCTGGTGATGAAAACGTAAAGTGACAGTTTCAGTCCTGAGAGTGTGAGTGAGTGAGTGAGTGAGTTGGGTTTAATGCCGCTTTTAACAGTATTCCAGTTATATCGCGGTGTGTCAGCTTAATGTGGGAGGAAAGCCCGAAGTGATGCAGGTCTCAGACGCTTACCACTTCGGTGAAACCCACAAGCACGGGTATGGTGCTGACAAACCTAGAAACATAATCGGGGCGAACCGGGATTCGAACCACACAATCATAGGTTTCTGGCGTGCCCAAGGGACGCAACTCTGCAAAGCGAATTGCGGCGCCTTAGACGACTGGGCCACCCGTGCCCCCTTTCAGTCCTGAGAGTGTTCGAGTGTTCAACATGAGTTTTGTAACAACCTCATCGATGGACTTGATGCACAAGCAGCAGCAGCAGCAGCAGCAGCAGCGGGTGATGGGGACTGTGGCAAGGGAAATGGCAGGTTATCCCGGCATGGAATTAAACGTAAGCCTTACATTAGCGACCAGGGCCCACTTGCACAAAGCGATCTTAGCGCTAAGATGATCGTAACTCCCATACTTTAGCATAGGCTTACAATAGATGTAGCACTAAGATCGCTTTGTGCAAGTGGGCCCAGGAGTTTCCACCTTGCATATATGTTCAGCCATATGTTCAGCTGAGCATCATCACCACCAACACCGGAAGAGTAAGACACCATGAGCCTGACTACTGTATGCTGCCATGTTTCCATCAGAAAAGACCACAATTCATGGTTTAAAATGGGGACATGCCCACTAAACATTACCTATTTCACAGTTTGCTGCCACTGATTTTCTATCATACTTCCCTAGGTGTCTTTTGTCCATGAATTACCAATTCTGTTATCATAAACAATTACCTTATTTGACGTAACAAGCGCCCAGGGCGCTCTCAAAATTCGAAATAGGGGGCTCTTATTAGAATATTATTTTGGTGAAAAAAAAACAGAGTTGAAAGATTGTAAATTTCGTGGTTTATGCTGACAGCCTGAAATGTTTACATACGACAGATATATTTTTTCCAGAATTTAATTGCCCATAGTTAAGGGTGCATATAACACATGAGTGAGTATTATACATGAATAAATAAGTCTTGTGTACATTGATTAATCGGAAGGGTTGCTAATTGGGATTGTTCACAAGCCAATATATTAGCAATTATCGTCGTGATCGCCTATAAGAGTGGGGCGCTTATTACGTTGAATACGGTAAGCAAGTATATTGGTTGTTAATACCAATGCCAACACAAATGAAGTGGAATTAAAAACTAAACACTGCATGAGTGAGATGAAACTAAACACTGCATGAGTGAGATGTTCCTTCTGATCAAACTAAACACTGCATGAGTGAGATGTTCCTTCTGATCAAACTAAACACTGCATGAGTGAGATGTTCCTTTTGATCAAACTAAACACTGCATGAGTGAGATGTTCCTTCTGATCAAACTAAACACTGCATGAGTGAGATGTTCCTTTTGATCAAACTAAACACTGCATGAGTGAGATGTTCCTTTTGATGAAACTTAACACTGCATGAGTGAGATGTTCCTTTTGATGAAACTAAACACTGCATGAGTGAGATGTTCCTTCTGATCAAACTAAACACTGCATGAGTGAGATGTTTCTTTTGATCAAACTAAACACTGCATGAGTGAGATGTTCCTTTTGATCAAACTAAACACTGCATGAGTGAGATGTATCTTCTGATCAAACTAAACACTGCATGAGTGAGATGTTCCTTCTGATCAAACTAAACACTGCATGAGTGAGATGTTCCTTCTGATCAAATTAAACACTGCATGAGTGAGATGTTCCTTCTGATCAAATTAAACACTGCATGAGTGAGATGAAACTAAACACTGCATGAGTGAGATGTTCCTTTTGATCAAACTAAACACTGCATGAGTGAGATGGTCTTTTGATCAAACTAAACACTGCATGAGTGAGATGGAACTAAACACTGCATGAGTAAGATCAAACTAAACACTGCATGATCGAGATGTTCCTTCTGATCAAATTAAACACTGCATGAGTGAGATGAAACTAAACACTGCATGAGTGAGATGTTCCTTTTGATCAAACTAAACACTGCATGAGTGAGATGTTCCTTTTGATCAAACTAAACACTGCATGATCGAGATGTTCCTTCTGATCAAATTAAACACTGCATGAGTGAGATGAAACTAAACACTGCATGAGTGAGATGTTCCTTCTGATCAAACTAAACACTGTATGAGTGAGATCAAACTCAACACTGCATGAGTAAGGAGATGGGACTCTTCAACATTTTTATAAGTTATTCGGCAATGTCCTAACCGTCTATGTGGGGTATCAACCAGGGACACTGCACCTGTGTTCAATGTGACATGTGGAACAGACATCAGGTCCACCAAGCTATGTCCAAGCAGCACAGAGTAACACTAAGCACACAGGTTAGTCTTGGGGAGGCAGAATGTCCTGCATGATACTCACAGAAGTGGTCTGATACCACACAATCTAGAACTCAAGATGGATGATCAGACAAAAAAGGTTCCAAAGAGCATCATTGTATGATAACGAAACGTGAAATCTAAATTCCTAATTTCTAGCATTGATGAAGAAATGTGAAAACAACAAGCACCTGTTACCTGCATTAACACACACACGCACACACGCACACACACACACACATATACCTGTGAAACACACATATGTACCTGTGATACACACCTGTGATACACACATATACCTGTGCCACACACACACACCTGTACCGTATACCTGTGCCACACACACACACCTGTGCCACACACACACACCTGTGATACACACGTGGCTATACAAGATGAGCTGAACTACACACAGCCAGCCACTACACAACATGTCAGGTTAAAATGTACATCTTACAGCTCACAACATCAACTTCACTCACTTCTACTGCAAGACAAATATTAAAGAGGGATGTGCTCCACAGTGTGGCCAGTCAGGGTCTGATTACATAATCAGTGCCATGTGTGAAACAATGTGAAACATTGTCTTTGTGTGGTCAGGGTCTGATTACATATTCAGTGCCATGTGTGAAACAATGTGAAACAATGTCTCTGTGTAATCAGGGTGGGGAATCATCAACTGATGTACATCATCATAAAATTCAAATTAGCAGATAACAAATTGGTGAAGTTGCCTTGAACCTAACTTGGCAGGACTCCATTCGTTCCACAGTCCAGTCCTTCTCAGAAGAGGACGTCAATAGTGAAGCCATGCTGTAGTGACGACAGTCCCATTCACATGGAGTTATGAAGATGCTGGTTGACGGGAATCTAACTTAGCTCAGAGTCCTGTACCACTCAAGAGAGGATGTCAGTAGCGATGACAGTCCCATTCACAACAAGTTATGAAGATGCTGGTTGACGGGAATCTAACTTAGCCCAGAGTCCTGTTCCACTCAAGAGAGGATGTCAGTAGCGATGACAGTCCCGTTCACATAGAGTTATGATGCTTCTCAAGTGGATGTAGATGTAAGACAGAGTGATGGTGTGATGCATGGTGATGCTGACGTGTCCCCACCCCAACAACCAGGACATACACACATGTGCGCAGGTCTCACATGGAAGTTTTACAAGTGACAACATCGAACAGTAGAGATGCTCTCTCCTCTTCTGAGAAAAGGCATAAAAACAAACACCCTTCACCAAATTGATCTAACAATGGTAGGAGTGATTCTTCAGAAAAGACGTTTTTGATACATGATTTTTTCTTGGTTAGCTATTTTTAACAACATCAAGGTTTGACACAAGAAGTGTTGCTGAAGAAAGTCATCCCTTCGGCGGAACCCTAAAACATGGTCCACACACAACATTCTCATCCACATATATACATGATAAAATTGACATAATCTTCACACCTTTCAGCAGAGCACTGACCATCTTAAAACATCCTACATGGAATTTAATTTTTAAAGACAAATAATTGGTGTAAGCTCTGTATACATAAACAATTACTGTATAAATAAATATTCAGAAAATTACAATTGATTGGTGGTAATTTGTTGTAAAAGTAAAAGTTGAAATAAATGTTGGAGATCAAATTCTTGAACAACACTAAGGTAACTAACTAAATTACTCCTGGAAATCAAGTTTCATTTTGTTCTTTTCTCCTGGACTGTTCAGTAGAAGGCGACCTATAGCAGGTGTGGTACAAGCTGGACACCAGTGCCAATGTGCTGGTTGGATTCAGATTGAGCAAAGTGTGACAGCATCACCACTGATGTCCCCTGTGTCGATGTCCCCAACACCTCCTCCTCGTCATGGCCACAAATTACATCTTCCCCTGAAACATGCACATCATCACAGAATGAGTATCTGCGTGGAAGGAGAGTCTGTGTGGAAGGAGTGTCTGTGGCAAGAGTGTCTGTGTGGAATGTGTGTCTGTGTGGAAGGAGTGCCTGCGTGGAAGGAGCTTCTGTGTAGGAGTGTCTGTGTGGAAGGAGTGTTTGTGTGGAAGGAGTGTCTGCATGGAAGGAGCGCCTGCGTGGAAGGAGCGTCTGCGTGGAAGGAGTGTCTGCGTGGAAGGAGTGTCTGTGTGGAAGGAGTGCCTGCGTGGAAGGAGCATCTGTGTAGGAGTGTCTGTGTGGAAGGAGTGTTTGTGTGGAAGGAGTGTCTGCGTGGAAGGAGCGTCTGTGTGGAAGGAGTGTTTGTGTGGAAGGAGTGTCTGTGTGGAAGGAGTGTTTGCGTGGAAGGAGTGTCTGTGTGGAAGGAGGGTCTGTGTGGAAGGAGCGTCTGTGTGGAAGGAGAGTCTGTGTGGAAGGAGCATCTGTGTAGGAGTGTCTGTGTGGAATGAGTGTTTGTGTGGAAGGTGTGTTTGTGTGGAAGGAGTGTCTGCGTGGAAGGAGCGTCTGCGTGGAAGCAGCGCCTGCGTGGAAGGAGAGTCTGCGTGGAAGGAGTGTCTGTGTGGAAGGAGTGCCTGCGTGGAAGGAGCATCTGTGTAGGAGTGTCTGTGTTGAAGGAGTGTTTGTGTGGAAGGAGTGTCTGCGTGGAAGGAGCGTCTGTGTGGAAGGAGTGTTTGTGTGGAAGGAGCGTCTGTGTGGAAGGAGTGTTTGCGTGGAACGAGTGTCTGTGTGGAAGGAGGGTCTGTGTGGAAGGAGGGTCTGTGTGGAAGGAGCATCTGTGTAGGAGTGTCTGTGTGGAATGAGTGTTTGTGTAGAAGGTGTGTTTGTGTAGAAGGAGTGTCTGCGTGGAAGGAGTGTTTGTGTGGAAGGAGTGTCTGTGTGGAAGGAGTGTTTGCGTGGAAGGAGTGTCTGTGTGGAAGGAGGGTCTGTGTGGAAGGAGTGTCTGTGTGGAAGGAGCGTCTGTATGGAAGGAGTGTTTGCGTGGAAGGGGTGTCTGTGTGGAAGGAGTGTCTGTGTGGAAGGAGCGTCTGTGTGGAAGGAGTGTTTGCGTGGAAGGAGCGTCTGTGTGGAAGGAGTGTTTGTGTGGAAGGAATGTATGCGTGGAAGGAGCGTCTGTGTGGAAGGAGCGTCTGTGTGGAAGGAGTGTTTGCGTGGAAGGAGTGTCTGCATAGAAGGAGTGTCTGTGTGGAAGGAGTGTTTGTGTGGAAGGATTGTCTGTGCGGAAGGAGCGTCTGCGTGGAAGGAGTGTCCATGTGAAAGGAGTGAGTGAGTGAATATGGTTTTACGCCGCTTTTAGCAATTATTCCAGCAATATCACGGCGGGGGACACCAGAAATGGGCTTCACACATTGTACCCATGTCGGGAATCGAACCCGGGTCTTCGGCGTGACGAGCGAACGCTTGAACCACTAGGCTACCCGACCGCCCCCCATGTGAAAGGAGTGTTTGTGTGGAAGGACTGTTAGTCTGAAAGGACTGTGTTTTTGGAAGGACTGTTAGTCTGAAAAGAGTGTATGTGTGGAAGGAATGTCTGCGTGGAAGGAGTGCCTGTGAGGAAGGAGCGTCTGTGTAGGAATGTCGGTGTGGAAGGAGAGTCTGCATGGAAGGACTGTTTTTTTGGAAGGACTGTTAGTCTGAAAGGAGTGTTTGTGTGGAAGGAGTGTTCGTGTGAAAGGAGTGTTTGTGTGGAGGTACTGTTTGTGTGGAAGGACTGTCAGTCTGAAAGGACTGTCAGTCTGAAAGGAGTGTTTGTGTGGAAGGAGTGTTCGTGTGAAAGGAGTGTTTGATCACTAACAATCCATAGTAAAGGCTGGTAAATCCTGTAACTAGTTTTGAACATAAGCCAGACAAACCAGTGGCTGATATTATGAGCAGCATCCCACAGTCAGGAAAGGATGACACACAAGATGCTGAGTACTGCAAGTCCTGATGCAACATAAACTCACACACTCACAGAAATGCGACACAATGTTAACACACAAAGACCAAATCGATCATGCTTCTCGGTACCTTTCCAGTCGCCCCCTTGTCTCCACCTTTGTCTGCCCCATCTGATGCTGATGCTGCTACTGAAGGTATCCCAAAGCTGTCCAGGAATATGCCAGGAATACTGTTACCAAAGTAAATTTTGCTGTTCTGGGCTATGGACTGGTACTTCATCATCTCCAGGTACTCGGGGGTTAGTTTTCTCTGGGAACAGAAATGTCTTTGTGACTCACTGCTGTATCAAAAGACACCTTCAAACAGTCTACATACACAGAGCTCCAGATACGCTGCGTATCTGCGTGAAATACGCATCAGAAATACAGAAATACGCAGTAAAAAATAATCCAAGCGTATCAAATACGCAACGAACATTACAGATACGCTACAAAAACAGATTTTGTGAGTATCATCAAAATAATGTGAAGTAACCCTGCGTATTAGATTTGCAAATCAGCAACTTATTTTGAAATTATAAACGGGCATTCCGTCAACCTTGCCAAACTCCACGATGACAGTCACATCATGATCATTTGCCATCACAATTTCTTGTGGAAGTATTGTGGTATTTTTGAGTCCTATAAAGCTCTCAAACCTACACAACACCAGTTTGCAGGGACTAGATGAATAGTGTTTTTAAATATTTAACTTAAATACCCACCTGTGTAAAAACTAGTGGGTAACAGAAATTTGAATACGCAGATAGAATTACTGATACCCAGTGATTTTAAAATGCATGGGTAAAATACCCACAACACCAAAAGCTTATCTGGAGCTCTGCATACAAATAGAATTTCTCTTGAAAATAGTTTACACACCAGCTCTCCAGGTAAACAACATTATCATACCTCAATGTCAGAATGATGAGATCTGATTGGTCCACGTGATTGTGATAAAATACTGTGTAACCCACCTTGGAGGGTAATAAATTTCTCAGCGGGGGAATAAATCTCTTATACCCCATTATGAGCAATACTGGCTGCACATGAATTTGTGAGGAGCAGAATAAATCCCTTATACCCCACTTCAAAGCAATATTCCAGCAATATCATGGACTGCAATATCATGAGCTTCACACATTGTTCCCATGTCGGGAATCAAACCCAGGTCTTCAGCGTGACGAGGGAACTATACATGATGGAAGTAGAGGTGACTATTGGGGCTATTTTCACTATTGCGATTGTATTGCAATAGTAGCCCGTACTATTGTAAAAGTATTGAGATAGTAGTAAACCAACTTGAATGCTTGATAATCAAAGTAATCAATGTAATAAAAATGAATAAAGCATTGCTGACAATCTACAGGTCGGCCATTTTCCTCCCTCTTGCTGCCCTCAATCAAAGGGAATCTAATCGGTAGGTGTGGTAATCCTTGCCAACCAACACAACAGACAGGTGTGAAATTCGCTAAATTTATGTTTTATTTATCATGCTCACAACTATTGAAACTATCGTTGTTAGACCTACTATCAACAATGATATTGGCGTTCTATAATTCCTATCGACAGCACCATCATAGGGCAATACAACAAAAGTTCTGAGGTCTGTAAGTAATCAAATCTGGACCAGACAATCCAGTGATTGACATCATGGGGATCCATCTATGCAAGTTAGATGACATACATCAACCAATTCAGAGAGCCTGATGGCTCCATCCCGTTAGTCGCCTCTAACAACAAGCATAGGTTGTTGAAGATCAATTCTAACCCAGATCTGCACGGGGTAGACCTTCTATGAAGAGTTTTCCAGATGTTCACACAGAAAGGTTGTGATCAGAGTTAAAAATAAATTTAATGAGTTTGCTACTAATAATGTGAAAAAGTGCAGTTGCACATCAATATCAGGGTCCCGCCTATTCTCACCATGTTGGAGTCTGCCTCCATCTGTGCCTTGTAGGAATCTGCATCAGCCTTCGCCTTCTCACGGGCCAGATGGGTTGAATCTACACAGTCACAATATGAGCAGTCAACAATGACATGAGTGAGTGAGTGAGTGAGTGAGTGAGTGAGTGAGTGAGTGAGTTGGGTTTAACGCCGCTTTTAACAGTATTCCAGTCATATCACGGCCTGTCAGCTTAATGTGGGAGGAATGCCCCAAGTGATGCAGGTCTTAGATGTTTACCACTTCGGTGAAACCCACGAGCACGGGTATGGTGCTGACAAACCTAGAAACATAATCGGGGTGAACCGGGATTCGAACCCAGAATCATAGGTTTCTGGCGTGCCAAAGGGACGCAACTCTGCACAGCGAATTGCGGCGCCTTAGACCACTGGGCCACCCGTGCCCCCACAATGACATGAACAATTCTTGTGGTGATCCCCAAAAACATTATTCAGTAAAATCTTAATATGTTTTACATTTGTATACTTATCCGGCATTAAACCTTAATACATTTACTGCTGTTTTTTTTTTTTTAAGAAAGATGAAGCTGTGTGAGGTTCAGATGAAAAAGAAGTTATTCCAACTAGTTGTGTGGCTAATCCCTTCACACAGAGCCCATGGAAGTGATGATGTCATGGAACAACACATTACTGCTTGATCTTAACACCGTGGGGAGGCAACTCTGCGACGGGTGGGCCATTTTAGACGTAGTAATGCACAATATGCATACAAATTTAAAAAACAATTAGCCTTTTAAAATTTATCATGCATTACTCCTTAATGCAGCTGAATCGGACAGTATGGAGGTGGGCAAACCTTTAGATGTGATCCTCAGGAGACTCCGTCAAAAAGTCCAGGCAACTGTCACATCAACCTTTGCCATAACTAGAACCAAGGCAACCATTCCCGCCAGAGTAAAAAACTGAGAGTGTGAGGAATGTAGAGAGAGTGAGTTGGGTTTAACGCCGCTTTTAACTGTATTACAATTATATCACGGCGTGTCAGCTTAATGTGGGAGGAAAGCCCAAAGTGATGCAGGTCTTAGACATTTACCACTTCGATGAAACCCAGGAGCAGGGGTATGGTGCTGACAAACCTAGAAACATAATCATAGGTTTCTGGTGGGCCAAAGCGACGCAACGCTGCACAGCGAATCGCGGCGCCTTAGATGACTGGCCGCCCCCCGTGCCCCCATGAGGAATGTAGAAATCCAGGTAAAAGAACAGTAGAAGAAAACAGCAGATGCTAGAGTCTAAAACTGACTTACCGACTTGCTGGTCAACGACCAGAGGACCAAAAATGTCCATGATGGATCTGATGAAGTAGTTGCTCGGATCTCATGAGGAGTGATGTAGCAATGGTGCTGCCCTTGAGGTATCATTAGCTGTGCAAAAAAAAGAAGGAATTGTGCCAAGAATTGGAGAGACTCAGAAGTAGGAATCCTGATGCTCCTACTTACAAAATGACTCAAAGGGTGGCCACTTGTCATTGTACAGTCTCGGGGGAGAAGGTCTATGTACCATGGCTATGGCTTTGGCTGCTCTAGCCGAGGAGCTCTTGGCGCCAAAGGCCCTTTGAAGCTGCAGCAGGTGTGCATATGAAACCTGTCTGGCACGATCAAAATTAGAGCAAGGCTCTGGATTGCCCTGATCTTTTGAAGCACATTTGAAAGAAGTACAGGTGGTGGAAAAGCGTATGCTCTTAGGCCTTCCCAAGGGACTGACTGGATAGCTGAGAAGCTGACACACCAGGTTGAAGTCTTCGAGCTTCCACTCCATGGGAGCCACCTTGTCCTGGCCTGGATAGAGCATCCGTGAGGTAATTATGACAACCTGTTCTGATATGCTGGACAAGAAATTGCAAGACCAGTCAATCTACCAGATGGAAACACCGGAATGTCTGCTACAGCATTGAGTGAAAGTGCTTTGTACACAGGTAGCTTAGACACCAGACCACTGTGATGTTGTCTGTTGAGAATCCTACCATGGCATTCTGGAGACGATTCTGCAAGTGAGATATTGCCAGAATGAGCACTTCCAGTTCCAGGTTGTTTATGTGCCATGTGCGCTTATCATCGGACCACAGCCCTGAAGCAGTCTGGTCCTCCAGGTGTCTACAAACAGGCATAAAGTAGGCATTGGCTCAGTCAAGGAGACTCCTAAGACATTCAACTCCACCATCCACCACAGGAGATGAGGTCTGAGGTGCGACGGTAGGACGCTGGATTCTGGTTCTTGAGCAACCTCAACATTATCATCCGGAAATAGGGAGGGCATTCAAGATAACGTTAATAGAATATTGACAGATTGTGGATCATCCGTAGCTTGTTCGAGTCCTTTTTGGGAACGGGAGGGTAGAAGCCTGGTGTTATGGCAGGGGCATCTACAATCTCTATGGCCTTTTTGTTGATGTTGTCTGACATATGCTGATGTTGATTAAGAGGGTAAATGCATGACAGCGGTGAGATAGTCAGGGGAAGATCGGAAAGCAGTGAGTGACGATACCCCTGGCGGAGGATGTTCGTCACATAATGGGGCCATCCAAGATGGCCCAATTTTGACAAAATCGGCCAAGTCTCCCACCTAGATTGGTGTCGATTTCTGGAATGACTGGGGGTGGGAGTTTGCAGTCGTTGATGTCTGGACCATCCTTGTCCTGATACTTACCTCGGCGAGGATGGTAGTTGCCTTGTCCCTTACCCTGTCCTTTGCCATGAAAAGATGGGGTGTCCTAGGAGTGGTCCTTGAAAGAGGCCTGTCACGGCTGATAGTTCCCAACCTTGGAGGACTCGTGGCATGTGTAGTGAGACACATGTTCTGAAGCATTGAGGGCAACCTTGTCCCGAGCGTAGCTAGAAACACAGGAGTGCGTATCGGAGACGTCTCCTTTGAAAAGGGAAGATGCGGACCAAGGTTGGCATAGTAGCTTGGAGTCCCAGTCCCTTGCTCAGTTAAAGCAAGGTAGCCAAGGCAGTGAGTCGAAGTGATCTCAGCCAGGGCAGCCTTGAGATCATTATGCATGTGATCTATCTGATGTTGCTGGTAGACCATAACTGTCCTCAGATGATCCATCCAATTAGGATTAGTGTTCATCAGGTCCTGATCAATGGCTCAAGATGAAGATAGAGCAGACAAAGGTTTAAGAGAGCACCGAATCTCCGTCTCCAAAGCCAACCACATGTCTGGGATGCTGATGGTAGGCTTGGAGGAGCCAGTCATGCAATGGAGATCCTCATCCACAGCATGAGGAAGACACTAGAGACAACACAGTTTTGGAGGTAGATACTCTACCCGCAAGAACATAAGTTGCAGGTGTTGTAGGCGCAGGCAAAGGTGGCAGCTGGAGTGGAGGTGCTACAGGTGTAGGAAACAGCTGAGGAGCCAATGACTGATGGAACACAGACTTCATGAAAGCTTGCATCCAAGCCAGGTCCATGTAAGGTGCCGGTAGAGGCCGAGGCAGCACCTGCTTGAACGGCATTAGCATTGGTGGGAAGCCATTTGGAATACCAAACCCCGAAGGGTTGAAGACGCAGGCACTTGAGGAAGTGCTGTGTAAGGCTGGAGGTGCAGGTGTAGGCACAGACAGAATAGGACATGCTTGGGCAAGTGTCGACATCAGGGAAATCAAAGGCTCCTGGGTAGGAGTAGGTGTCTGCATGGACGGCTTCTACCCAGAAGTAGACGACAGGGACACAATGATAGGTGTGGCAGGGGTCTCTAGCGGGACCTCTTGAGAATTTGACATCCTAGAGTGTCTGAGGGCCTGCTGAGTGCAGGCTTTTGAGAAACCTGGGGGTACCTGGAAAAGCTAGGTGGTGAGAGGTGCGAGCAGAAGCTAGTAGCTACACCATGAAGCAAGGTGGTGAGAGGGGCGAGCAGAAGCTAGTAGCTACACCATGAAGCAAGGTGGTGAGAGGGGCGAGCAGAAGCTGGTAGCTACACCATGAAGCTAGGTGGTGAGAGGGGCGAGCAGAAGCTGGTAGCTACACCATGAAGCAAGGTGGTGAGAGGGGCGAGCAGAAGCTAGTAGCTACACCATGAAGCAAGGTGGTGAGAGGGGCGAGCAGAAGCTGGTAGCTACACCATGAAGCAAGGTGGTGAGAGGGGCGAGCAGAAGCTAGTAGCTACACCATGAAGCAAGGTGGTGAGAGGGGCGAGCAGAAGCTGGTAGCTACACCATGAAGCTAGGTGGTGAGAGGGGCGAGCAGAAGCTGGTAGCTACACCATGAAGCAAGGTGGTGAGTGGGGCGAGCAGAAGCTAGTAGCTACACCATGAAGCAAGGTGGTGAGAGGGGCGAGCAGAAGCTGGTAGCTACACCATGAAGCTAGGTGGTGAGAGGGGCGAGCAGAAGCTGGTAGCTACACCTTGAAGCAAGGTGGTGAGAGGGGCGAGCAGAAGCTGGTAGCTACACCATGAAGCAAGGTGGTGAGTGGGGCGAGCAGAAGCTAGTAGCTACACCATGAAGCAAGGTGGTGAGAGGGGCGAGCAGAAGCTGGTAGCTACACCATGAAACTAGGTGGTGAGAGGGGCGAGCAGAAGCTGGTAGCTACACCATGAAGCTAGGTGGTGAGAGGGGCGAGCAGAAGCTGGTAGCTACACCATGAAGCAAGGTGGTGAGAGGGGCGAGCAGAAGCTAGTAGCTACACCATGAAGCAAGGTGGTGAGAGGGGCGAGCAGAAGCTGGTAGCTACACCATGAAGCAAGGTGGTGAGAGGGGCGAGCAGAAGCTAGTAGCTACACCATGAAGCAAGGTGGTGAGAGGGGCGAGCAGAAGCTGGTAGCTACACCATGAAGCTAGGTGGTGAGAGGGGTGAGCAGAAGCTGGTAGCTACACCATGAAGCAAGGTGGTGAGTGGGGCGAGCAGAAGCTAGTAGCTACACCATGAAGCAAGGTGGTGAGAGGGGCGAGCAGAAGCTGGTAGCTACACCATGAAGCTAGGTGGTGAGAGGGGCGAGCAGAAGCTGGTAGCTACACCTTGAAGCAAGGTGGTGAGAGGGGCGAGCAGAAGCTGGTAGCTACACCATGAAGCAAGGTGGTGAGTGGGGCGAGCAGAAGCTAGTAGCTACACCATGAAGCAAGGTGGTGAGAGGGGCGAGCAGAAGCTGGTAGCTACACCATGAAACTAGGTGGTGAGAGGGGCGAGCAGAAGCTGGTAGCTACACCATGAAGCAAGGTGGTGAGAGGGGCGAGCAGAAGCTGGTAGCAACACCATGGAGCTAGGTGGTGAGAGGGGCGAGCAGAAGCTGGTAGCTACACCATGGAGAAAAGGTTGATTCAGTCCAAAAACAAGGGGTGGGGGTTCCTGCTAGACTTCTCACCGTAGCAGTGATTTAAATTAGCAATAAAAAATCTGCAATTTAACCAGAGACCATAATTACAAGTTGGACAACAACAAAAAAAGAGAATGTTAAGGCAGTTTTTAGCCCCAAAACAGGGCAGTAAAATGATAAAATTATGCAGTATAAAAGTGAAAAACACTTTAATTACCAGTCAGGGAGCTTTTGGTATGAAAAATATAAAAGAATTACCAAGTAACAATAAAGAATAAAAGACATGAGACATGAGAATGTGACCACATGGGAAATTCAAAATGACTAACTGAAACAACATAACAATGATTTTTACAGGGACTTGTAGCCATCATCATGTGCAACATATTGATGTGATGGCAAAAATATATGGTAGGACGTGAAGACACAATCCAAAAGAATGAAATAAATCGCATATAAATACTGAAGAAAGACCAAGCAAAGAGGATGCCTGTAGATTAGCTGGAGCATTATTATAAACGACTTGTCAGTCTGGTTGACAAGCAGTAATGTGATGATCCGTGACATCATCACATCCATGGTCCTGTGGACGCTATGTGACAGGATTAGCCACACAACTAGTTGGAACAACTTCTTTTTCAGCTTGATATCACACAACTTTGTCTTACTGTAAAAAAACAGCAGTAAATGTATTTAGGAGTAACGCAGGATGAGTTACAAAATATAGTTCTTTGACAATAACATACAAAAAAATCAGAATTCTGATACTTTCATTTTGGAAAGTCTTGGTGACACCTGTGGAATAAATATTCTTTAAGAGACATCATTAGTGTGTTCATCCATGCAACTGTTCACTTTATTTATTGTCAATCAGCTGATTCATAAGTGACAACCCAGAAGATGGTGTTCCACCTTCTGTACCAGGTGAGCTAACTATACAGCAGCTGATTCCTCTGTGACAGAGCAGGGATCATATTGTATTCCACCTTCGTTACCAGGTTAGTTAACTATACAGCAGTTCATTCATCTTTGACAGCTGCGGAGAATATGGTGTTCCACCTTCTGAAGCAGGTGAGCTAAATGTACAGGAACTGATTCATCTTTGACAGCTCAGGGGAATATGGTGTTCCACCTTCTGAAGCAGGTGAGCTAAATGTACAGGAGCTGATTCATCTGTTGAAGAACCCTGAGAGAAGATTGTTTCCTCTTACCTTCAATCAGTGACATCCGCTTCTCAGACTCTTTCTCCATCACCTTCTGTTCCCACTGAATCTTGGCCACTAAAGCCACCTTCTCTGCCTCTGTTGCGTGAAAAACATATCAAATGTTGTCAAATGTTTAACCATGTGGTCCTGAGGCAACACTTAACATCCAGGAACTATGAACTACCAGGGCTCAACACCCAGGATGTTTGAACTACCAATACTTAACACCAAGGAACTATGAACTACCAATACTTAACACCCAGGAACTCCAAACTATGAATACTTAACACCAGGAACTACCAATACTCAAAACCCAGGAACTATGAACTACCAATACTCAACACCCAGGAACTATGAACTACCAATACACAACACCCAGGAACTATGAACTACCAACACTTAACACCCAGCAAGTATTAACTACCAATACTCAACACCCAGGAACTATGAACTACCAATACACAACACCCAGGAACTATGAACTACAATACACAACACCCAGGAACTATGAACTACAATACACAACACCCAGCAAGTATTAACTACCAATACTCTACACCCAGCAAGTATTAACTACCAATACTCAACACCCAGCAAGTATTAACTACCAATACACAACACCCAGGAACTATGAACTACCAACACTTAACACCCAGCAAATATTAACTACCAATACTCAACACCCAGCAAGTATTAACTACCAATACTCAACACCCATGAACATTGAACCGCCAATACTTAACACCCCGGAAATATGAACCACAATTACCTAACACACTAATACTCAACCCTCAGGAACTATGAACTACCAATACTTAACACCCAGGAACTATGAACTACCAATACACAACACCCAGGAACTATGAACTACAATACACAACACCCAGGAACTATGAACTACAATACACAACACCCAGCAAGTATTAACTACCAATACTCTACACCCAGCAAGTATTAACTACCAATACTCAACACCCAGCAAGTATTAACTACCAATACACAACACCCAGGAACTATGAACTACCAACACTTAACACCCAGCAAATATTAACTACCAATACTCAACACCTAGCAAGTATTAACTACCAATGCTCAACACCCATGAACATTGAACCGCCAATACTTAACACCCCGGAAATATGAACCACAATTACCTAACACACTAATACTCAACCCTCAGGAACTATGAACTACCAATACTTAACACCCAGGAACTATGAACTACCAATACTCAACAACAAGGAACTATGAACTACCAATACACAACCCCCAGGAACTATGAACTACCAACACTCAACACCCAGCAAATATTAACTACCAACACTTAACACCCAGCAAGTATTAACTACCAATACTCAACACCCAGCAAGTATTAACTACCAATACTCAACACCCAGCAAGTATTAACTACCAATACTCAACACCCAGCAAGTATTAACTACCAATACTCAACACCCAGCAAGTTTTAACTACCAATGCTCAACACCCATGAACATTGAACCGCCAATACTTAACACCCCGGAAATATGAACCACAATTACCTAACACACTAATACTCAACCCTCAGGAACTATGAACTACCAATACTTAACACCCAGGAACTATGAACTACCAATACTCAACAACAAGGAACTATGAACTACCAATACACAACCCCCAGGAACTATGAACTACCAACACTCAACACCCAGCAAATATTAACTACCAACACTTAACACCCAGCAAGTATTAACTACCAATACTCAACACCCAGCAAGTATTAACTACCAATATTCAACACCCAGCAAGTATTAACTACCAATACTCAACACCCAGCAAGTATTAACTACCAATACTCGACACCCAGCAAGTTTTAACTACCAATGCTCAACACCCATGAACATTGAACCGCCAATACTTAACACCCCAGAAATATGAACTACAATTACCTAACACACTAATACTCAACCCTCAGGAACTATGAACTACCAATACTTAACACCCACGAACTATGAACTGCCAATACTCAACACCCAGGAACAATGAACAGCCAATATTCAACACCTAGGAACTGTGAACTGCCAATACCCAATTCCCAGGAACTATGATCTACAAACTACCAATACTCAACACCCGGGACTATGAACTACCAATACTCAACACCAGGGATCTATGGCGCCAGAAATACCTATGATGGCCTTCTTGCGTTCCGTCTCGGCCTCCTTCTCCACGACCTTCTGTCTCTGGATGCTGATGAGCAGCTTGGTTTTCTCTGCCTCCCTGCAAAAAAAGCCCCATTGTAAATCACCAGGGACATCAAGAGGAGACATTGCACTTGTAGCAATCCCTACAAATTTTGGATTGCAATCAATCTTTTCATTTCCAAAACAGAAGCCTTGAGAACAGTTTTGGTCTGATCAATGAAACACTCTCGCTCAAACTCAATATATACTGGTATTGAAGTGACAAAATTTTCACATTGTCATAAAACAGTCACACATGCATCGAAATACATAGAAATACACTCACATAGGGGTGAGGTGAGGTGAAATGGGGTTTAACGTCACGTCCAAGATTATTGCACTTATATAGCGACGTGCATGTACGCGTGCGTGTTTGTGTGGCTGCTTGTACTAGTCCGGACTGATGCCGATTTATAGTGCTAGCTCACTGAGATATCATGCCTCAGTTTAACATGAATATCCCACTCAGACACAGTATACTGACTCCGAGCCGACCAGTCCTTGTTTTAGCCCATTAATGCCGAGCGCCAGACAGGGTAACAACAAGTACCATCTTTTAACGTCTTTTGGTATGACGCGGCCGGGGATCGAACCCCATACCTCCCGCTCTCTGGGCGGACGCTCTACCACTAGACCACGGAGGCAGTCACACTCACATGGCTTCATAGTTCTTCCTGATGGTTTCTGGGATCTTGGGTTTGGTGACTCGGACGGCTTGTACAGTCAGTCCTGGTGCAAGGGTGTTCAGATCCTCTTGCAGGGCCTTCTTTAGGTTCTCATCAATCTGATCTGTTCAAAAAACATCACTCATAAATCGTTGGTTCATTTCATCTTTTTTCTAAATCCATAAACATTCTGGATCACAATCTGAGAATTTCCTGATTCCATTTGACGGACGCAGAGATTGGGTCATGTGACACCTTGAACACTGAACGCCTAAAACACATGAACACATGGTATCAGCGCAAAATGTGATACAACAAGCCTACTAACTTGTATTGCTGCAACACTTACCGAAGAGATCAATGTAGACCTCCTGGAGATTGTGAACGCTACAGAACTGGTTGAGCTCGTGGTGGATCTTGTTGTAGATGAGAGTTTTGTCGTAGTCGGCAGTGTAGTTCTTCACAACATTGAAAACTAGGAAGAAGTTGAATAAAACTACATCTAAATATTCCATGGCAAAAACAAGGTACACTGTACAACTATGTCTAAAAATAGTGAGTGAGTGAGTTGGGTTTAACGCCGCTTTTAACAGTATTCCAGTTATATCACGGCCTGTCAGCTTAATGTGGGAGGAAAGCCCGAAGTGATGCAGGTCTAAGACGTTTACCACTTCGGTGAAACCCACGAGCACGGGTATGGTGCTGACAAACCTAGAAACATAATCGTGGCGAACCGGGATTCGAACCCACAATCATAGGTTTCTGGCGTGCCCAAGGGATGCAACACTGCACAGCGAATCGCGGCGCCTTAGACGACTGGGCCACCCGTGCCCCATGTCTAAAAATAGTATGTCATCAGTCAAGACTTCAAAGTAACAGACAAATCAAACACACTTCCTTACAAATGCAACTGGTTTCTTATAATGCTGATAATCCTCTTACTATTAGATCACTGTAGAAATTGTTTGGTGAATATTTTGTCCTGATCAGCTATATAACATCAGCATCATTGTTAATGCAACTAAGTCTGAAATTGACAAATTTGTTGTCAATAGCAACAATCCAGGTCAAAAGGGCAATTACTCACCACCAAAAGAAACACATAGAGAAGTATGTACGTAAAGAAGAGATGTTTCCTATGTGTACCATTTAATGTCAAAACTAATAATCAGTGTTACCAGAGAGTGTCCTTATTCCTATTGCGATATGCTGCATGTGATTTCCAAACTTTACAGGCTAATCCTGCACGAGACAGATGGTACTTCTCGAGTCATGGATCTACGTTTGCGTTCATGAGTGTCCGTTCATACACCATACCAGTATGTTTGTTTGTGCACTGAACCAATCTAATATCTGTTGAATATGAGTAATTCTTCATATATTAACCAACATGTATGGCATTCACATTTCTTTTGTCGGTGAGTACATAATGCAAACATTTCCGCCATATTCATCATGTTCATGGGCCGAGAAGTGGTCACATTTTATTCGACAGAAAGTATGGGTTACTATACTGAAGACCTGTTCTGCACTGGAACCGTCTATCCAAGTCAGTAATACACAACAGAGTCAGTGAGAGCGAGGGAGGAAGTCAGATGTAACACCCCTTTGAACAGTTTGCTTGTTTGTTGTTTTATGCCACACTCAGCAATATTCCATCTATATGACAGCGGTCTGTAAATAATCGAGTCTAGACCAGACAATCCAGTGATTGACATCATGAGCATCTATCTCATGGGATACGAGGACATGCATCAACCAAGTCAGTGAGTCTGACCACCCGATCCCCTTAGTCGCCATTTACGACCAACATAGTCGCCTTTAACAGCAAGCATGGGTTGCTGAAAACCTTTCCTACCCCGGATCTGCACGGGTCCCTTCGAACAGTATTCAAGTCACATCACGGTATGTCAGCTTAATGTGGGATGAAAACGCAAAATGATGCAGGTGAGTGAGTGAGTGAGTATGGTTTTACGCCGCTTTTAGCAATATTCCAGCAATATCACGGCGGGGGACACCAGCAATGGGCTTCACACATTGTACCCATGTCAGGAATCGAACCCGGGTCTTCGGCGTGACGAGCGAACGCTTTAACCACTAGGCTACCCGACCGCCCCAAAATGATGCAGGTCTCAAGATACACCACTTTGGCAAAACCCACAAGTACAGGTATGGTGCTGACAAACCTAGAAACATAATTGGGGCGAACCGGGATCCAAACCCACAATCACAGATTTCTGGCGTACCCAAGGGATGCAACTCTGTACAGCGAATTGCCATACACGACACAGTAGACAAACAACATTCAGGCAATATATATCATGGGTATTGTTAAATGATCGCTCACCTGAGGAAACGCTTAATTTGTTGACAACTTCAATTCTTTCAAAATATATTATCACTCCTCCGCTGAAAAAGAAAAAGGTCAATTTTACTGTGGCAACAGTACCTAAATAGATAAAAGCACTATTGATGTAAAATTGGCAAGACCAGTAAGAGTTATTCTCCTACAGCCCAAGCGTCTAAAGTCGTTACCCCCACCTATGAGTTATCTAAGCAAATTAAATAATATTTTTTTCAACAGCTTATTTCCATTTGTTTGTTCGTTGTTTAATGCTGCACTCAGCAATATTCCAGTGAGTCTGGACCAGAAAATCCAATGGTTGACATTATATGCATCAATCCACGCCATTGGGATACGATGACATGCATTAACCAAGTCAGCAAGTTTTACCACCCGATCCCATTAGTCCCCTCTTTCGACAAGCATCGTCGCCTTATATGGCAAGCATGGGTTGCTGAAGACCTATTCTAATCCGGGTCTTCACAAGGTGCTTATTTACAAACTGCTTCAGACACCTACCTTGTACCACAGGGGACATTCTTCACTTCATCAGTCTGCAAGGTTGTCTGAACAAACACAGAAATATTTCAGGCATGACCTATATAAAATGTGTTCTGACAAAAAGAAATATTCCTTTTCATACCAGAATTATGCTAGCCATATCAATCAAAGAAGGAAAGGAACATGAGGAATAAGTCTTGTTTTATTACTTTTAGGATACTCTTATCAAATCAGTAATCCTGACAAAAAGGCAGGAAGATGGCACACTACTGTAGACATCCGGTACCATCCATTTCCACAAATATTTATCAACATTCTTGTCACTCCTTAAGAAACACACGGAAAGCTATACTTATAATTACACATCAACTGTTTTCTTCACGTACCTGTACAGATCTGAATGTTGTTATGCCTGGAATCTGGAAATGGTAGCCTGGGTCACTTGTTGTACTCAGTAAGGCTCCTCCCTGTAACCATGACAACACATTTTAGAAAAAGAACATTCTGCTTGTCAGCTGGGTTGGTTCCTGTTGGATCTCAAAACAGCTCACACGCCAACAACATGGCCTCTAGACAGGTCTAGATAAATCCTGGTGTACATTCTAAAAGCATTCTTATACAAAGTGTTTTTTTACTGAAATGTACATCGCAAGTTTAAATGATAAAGTACTTGTTAGAGCTCTGTGTGAACACAGAAAATCTCCCCATAGTTTAATGTTAACATGCTTCACAAAGCAGTAAACAATTTGATGATATTTGTGCTAACTGTACTTCTGGTGAAATTGAATATGAATTTCATGACAATTTATTTGTAATAAGTCCAATCACTTCAAAGATAACTCAGATATAAACACCTTTCCAATCATCATGATCATCCTATGTTAAAAACTACAAATGTCATACCAAAATTACTGATTTACTTAACATGTTTAATATTAAAATTGTAGATCATATCCATTTATCAGATGTTTTTTAATAAAACATACATTCTAAACAAATGATGGCTAGATTTGCTTCAGTTCCTGTTTAGTGACAAACAAAAGATGTGCTGATTTCAGTTGTACTCTGTGCCATGAGATCTTCACTCCTGAATAAACCTGTTGGTTTGTCTGTCCATTTAGCATGTTTAGGGCTTATTTCTATGTTTAAGAAAAAACTCAAATCACTATTTCATTTTCATTCTCATGGTCTCAAAACTAATAACAATTTTGTCACACACAATTTGTACATGGTATCATAATCAGATCATGCTATGAAGAAATCATCAACTTACCCTGTAATAAACACCAACATGTCCTGAAAACAAATGAAACAAACATCATAAATGAAAACAAATGGACAAAGGAACAACTATGATGTCTATTTCAGGCAACAGTATGTCACTCATGAACATGAGGCAGGGTAACAACAAGTACCATCTTTCAACATCTTTTGGTATGACGCGGTCAGGGGATCGAAACACAAAACTTCCGCTCTCTGAGCAGATGCTCTATCCACTAGACCACGGTGAGTCTGTGTGAAAGGAAACATCCCCACCACTACACACTTGTAAAAATATAATTAAATACCAATAAGGATCATAAGGTCCAATATTGTACCCCTAAATATAAAAAAAGGTATGTCTGGCTCTGGCTAAATTATCAAAAGGCCACAGTGTTGAAGGGTGAAAGCTGTATCGCTGATTGTGGCACACCAAGAGAGATTCTTTAAAACCACTGTTTCTGAACCTGTCAACTGAAATAGCCATGTGTGCCTCAGAAGGCAATATCAGCAGCATAGTGACATGGATTTGTATATTGGGCCATGAAAGAAAACCATTGTGGACAGAAGCACATAACTCACTGAACCAGAAAACAGGTGAAAGAAGGTTGTTACACGTTTAACTACCGTACAAAAGATGACACTGTGAAATTAAGTAGTACTAATCATGCTAATGTTAGTGACCGAAAATTGGACAACTACACGATTGATAACGATTCAAATATGTAATTAAAAAATGAAATATTCATATTGTTATCTTACATGCTTAAAAAAAAATATGTTTTCTAATCATGCAACCTCTAAGGCTTAACACAAAACTCTTTGCAGCCATTGTAATATGTAGCTACTAGCCGACTCATCTCGCATCAAAACATGGGGCTGTGTACTCACGGGCAGATGACCACGGAATACGATGATCACTTTGTTGGATTAATGAGACTGATTAATGAGTGATTTCGGTAATTCGGAGTCGGAGTGCAATGTCGGATTAACGGGTCTAAATACCACTAATATAATCGGTTCCCATCCATGGGTGGATACAGAGGGGGGTGCAGGGGTGCGCAACCCCCCTTTTTAGTTCGAAAAAAATCTTTATTTCTGTATAAATTACCACCAAAGACAATAAAAGATCTTAATTGTGCACCCCCCCTTTTAAAAAAAGCTGTATCCGCCCATGCCACCATTAGGGTCGGATATAGCCAATTGTCGGATTAACGAGAAAATTGGATTGCTGCATGAGGGCATGTATGCTAACCCAGGTCCCATAGAGTTTAGAATTTAAGGTTGCAGCTTAATCATGTAATAGTGGAATAGTCACCGGTCAAGTGACTAGTTAAAGAACGAAACATGTACCTTCCTCAATCTTGTGGATAGAGAAGTTGATAAAAACTGCCAGTGCCACACCGACCACACCCAAAGCCGTCACCACTGTTTGAGCCATGTCTCCAGCCCTGCAATATGAAGCCGATGCTGCAATCTTCAATACATTCAATTTACAAACAATACACCACTGTTTCTCCCACGCGGATTTAATTCGTTCTCGATCAGTTTGCCATTAGGAGTTGAAACACAATCCTCACGCCATGGGAGCGGAATGAAATCTACATTTGCTTGGGTTTGTAAATCATAAATGAAATGATAGTGTCAGTAAAAACAAATTTTAACATTTGGCTCTTTCTTAGTTATAAACTTACTTTGGTTTAACTGTCTACTGTCGATATTTAGAGTCTACAAGTCTATTAGTAACAACATATAGGCGAGGTCTCTCACACAACAGTGATATTCTCGTGATATTCATGAGCAGCTACACCGACTGAATAAGGTAAATGTCGATCACAGAGCAAATCTAGATCTTATTATATAGCAGATGTTGCAAGCATTCTATTACTTTCATCACAATCCTATTTTTATACAGTAATCTATGTCGCTTAACCAGGTGACGACAAATATACCGTAACAACCAACCTAACACACTCCAACACGTGTAGAAAGTTCACTTCCGTATTTGGGAAGCAGCGCCCCCTTGTATTATGGGAAGATAACTCTAATCGTCATAAATAATCGCACAACATCGGCGAAAAACAGACACAGTGTCTCTGTCAACAAACAATAACACCATGTGTCTAAAACTGCAAAACTCGTGATATTAAAAAGGTGAAACCTAAAAGTCGAACGCAGTTTTCTGTGGCACATGAGTAGTGTATAACATGAAATAGCAAAGGTATGTTTATGTCGAAAGCCTTACTTTGGTTAATATTTGGACATTTATGTACAACTTTTATGAATGTGCAAATGTACCATTCAATTTCACACCCTGAAGTCATTGTTCTTTTAGATTGTTAGTTTAGATCTGTGCTTTTAAAATGCGAAGCTATGCTTATCTGCTTACGGTTCCTTGTAGCCCCTTTTGATATTCTTGCTGTTAAAAAGCTGATTATGTTAATTGCTTTCACATTACTATAAACCAGAGACTATATGGTATATATGGTCTCTGTATGAATTCAGGATTTGTTAATATTTTTTTTTGTCTTCTAAAAGACATAATTTCACTTTTCCTAGCAATATTATCACGTAATATTTTATCATGCAGTAGCAGTTTAAGGTTTACTGATAGCATGAGTAATCTCAAATAATCCGTGAAGACCCGGGGTAGAATAGGTCTTCAGCAACCTATGAAAGGCGACTATGCTTGTCGTAAGAGCGACTAACTTGATCGGGTGGTCAGGCTCGCTGTCTTGGTTGATGCATGTCATCGCATCCCAGTGGCGTAGATCGATGCTCATGGTGTCAATGACTGGATTTTCTGGTCCAGACTCGATTATATATACAGACGGCCCGCCATATGGCTGGAATATTGCTGAGTGCGGCGTTCAACAACAAAATTTAATGATGCTGTTACTGCCATTATGAGAAGTTATGACACCACCATTTACTGATTATACCTTGTCAGCTAGGATGTGGTTTACAACAAAGATGTGGTAAATAGAAACTGTTCAAAGTTCCCACTGAGCAAGGTGAAGGAGAAGACAGTGTTTTTGAGCGATTAGATACTTGACAGGGCATGGTGTTCCAGACGTTACGTAGTCAGAGGGAATGTGGACACAATTAGGAAAGAACACACATCAGTGTTTTGGAATGAAACAATTGCAAGCAGGATGAAACAGAACGAGGTAAATCAGATTGAGAGGTTGGATGGATAAGTGACAGTTTTGATCATGAAGAGGTGAGGTGAGGTGAAGTGAAATGGGGTTTAACGTCGCGTCCAAGATTATTGCTCTTATATAGCAACGTGCATGCACTGTGTGTGGCTGCTTGTACTAGTCCAGACTAATGTTGATTTATAGTGCTAACTGAGATACCATGCCGCAGTTTAACATGAAAACCCCACTCAGGCACAGTTTACTGACTCCGAGCCGACCACTCCTTGTTTTAGCCCCTTAATGCCGAGTGCCAGACAGGGTAACAACAAGTACCATCATTTGGTATGACGTGTATTTAAATACGAGTAAATAGTTTTAAAGCTTGGACATTTTAGTAACATCCTCAAAGTGGCTGTACATAAAATTGACATTTCATATAAGAAATAATAGACTCGTGGTAGTTGTTTATCGTACACTAAAATACTACAGGGAGAATAAACCACTGCACCCCTCATGGTATATTCTCCACGCAGTGTTTTATTGTATGATAAACATCTCCCACTCGTAGTTTATTTCTTAATTATGTCAAGTGGATTTTTTGCCAATGATGTATTGTTTCATCATCAATCGTGAGGGCGAGGTGAAATGGGGCTTAACGTCGTGATGACAATTACAGCAACGAGCATGAATGCGTGCGTGAGTGCGTGTGTGGTAGCCCACTGAGATACCATACCGCAATATAACGTGGGTACCCACTGACTCCGAGCCGAGCAGTGCTTGTTTCATCACATTCATGCCGAGCGCCAACAAGTACCATCCTCAATCATATGAAGAGCAATTCTTTAGCTGATCAAATCAAATTTGTCATTGCCTTTTGTCAATCAGTTTACACACATTAAAAGTGTCTGTATTTAATAAGAATTAGTTATTTTTGTTATTTATATTTATTTATTATTTTTGTAATATATGTGTTATCATTATTATCAACTTGTGCAGAGTTGTCGATGCATGATTTTGTGAACCAGATTCATTGGAAACGACAATTGCCGGTTTATTTAATTTCCTTATCTCAAATACTGTAGGGCCTTTTACCTGGAACGAATCGAGCCGTGCTATAGTTACAGCGACAGAGGCAATAAACTCGACTTTTCTCCGCGTTTACAGGTTCTCAACTTTCAAAATATATTTTCAGCCGAAGTATTTGGTGAACGAAAGGAAAATGGTTTGGGAACAGGACATATACAACTTTTAGCGATATTGTTTAATGTGAGTGAGTGAGTGAGTGAGTATGGTTTTACGCCGCTTTTAGCAATATTCCAGCAATATCACGGCGGGGGAAACCAGAGATGTGCTTCACACATTGTACCCATGTGGGGAATCGAACCCGTGTCTTCGGCGTGACGAGCAAAAGCTTTAACCCCGAGGCTACCCCACCGTCTCCGGACTCCCGAGAACGTTACCAAAGAAGGGACACCAAACTATGCGTTAGCATCCTGTTGATCGGATAGCGGAGCAATACTTAGCTTTGATGACTCGCCTAACATTTTTGTGATCGCAGATCACTCCTGGTATTGTTAAATATATCGAATAAGGTATTTTGTTGTTCAGAATTTTAATCAGACCTTCGGATTCCTGCGTTGAGCTATTTTACTGTAGTCAATTTCTATTGCATTTAGATTCCAACTACCAGGGCCCCTGTTCACAAAGAAATCTTAACACTACGACTCTCGTAAGTCTATGTGATAAACAAATGTTGCCGAGTCGCAGCGCTAACCTCGGTTTGCGAAACTGGGCTCTGCGTTGTTCGCCGTCAACTACCGTATTTCCTCTATTAGACGACAGGGCTTCTATTTATTTCGGACAAGCCTTTGACCCGGCGTCAATTAGAGGCCCGGCGTCTATTGGAGTCCCGGCTTCTATTAATACCCCCATTTCACTATGACCACGAATGTCCCGTTGTATCAATTGATCGACCCGGCGTCTTTTAGAGGCCCAGCTTCTATTTTTTGCACTGAACAATTGACCCGGCTTCTAAACTGACGTCCAAAAGAAACTTTACCAACTGAAAATATAAATTTCAGACAAAGTATAATTGTTTTTTCGATGAAGTCTACCTAAAACACATAACCTAAATACAACAATAGTGTATGCAGAAAATGTTAATCGTCTGTTACAGGTTTGCGAGATAACACGGGAAAAAGTGAAAAACACGTGCACCACGGACAACTGCAAATGCACGTGCAGGTAAGGGTGTAAAACGATTGCAACGGCAAGTCAGACATCCACAGTGATAAAAAAACACAAAAGAAATGCCACGACTCACAGTCGAACAACGTGAACGAGCCTTGGGTATGGTACAGATGGGAGCCACCCACGCCCATATTGCACGAACCTTCGGTTGCTCCCGTGTTGCCGTTACCAACTTGATGCAACGTTACAGACAGACAGGGCGGACCGCTGACAGGCCAAGAACAGGCAGACCCAGGGTGACCACGCCCCATGATGACCGGTACTTGCGTACCTTGCACCTCCCAAATCGCTTCCTGACAGTGACGTCATCGGCGACAAATGCCTTAGGTCACAGGGTTTGTCGACAGAGAGTGGCCAGGAGACTCAGGGCTCATGGAATCAGGGCTTTTAGACCATACAGAGCTATTGACAGCGCAACATCGTCGTCTGCGATTGAGATGGGCCCGGACTGTACGACGTTGGCAACGACGTGACTGGCAGAGGGTTGTCTTCACTGACGAAAGTCGATTCTGTATGTTTAGGGCTGATGGAAGACAACGTGTTTACCGCCAAAGGGGTGAACGAACGGCGGCGTGTTGCGTGCAGGAGGTCGTACCATATGGTGGAGGGAGTGTCATGGTGTGGGGAGGGATCTGTGGGCAGGAGAGGACACCGCTGGTCATCGTTGACGGAAACGTGACAGCTCAGCGGATAATATTCTTCGTCCAGTTGTCCTATCATTTCTTCAACAGCAGCCACGTGGTGTCATTTATCAGCATGACAACGCTAGAGCCAATACAGCCAGAATTGTCACTTCCTCGCAGCCAACAACGTCAACGGCCTGCCGTGGCCTGCACGCTCACCCGACATGTCCCCGATAGAACACCTCTGGGACTTGTTGGATCGTCGTGTTCGACAACGACCACACTCTCCAGCCAACCGGCAAGAACTGATCTTGGCCCTCCAAGAAGAATGGCGTCAAATCCAACGTGACCTCATCAGACGACTGACTTTATCTGTGCGTCGAAGAGTTTTTGCGTGTATTGAGGCATTTGGTGGTCACACACGCTACTAATGACTTGTTATTGAACGTGAGCGATTGTTTATGTACACTGCCTATTGTCCATGATTCTGAAAGCTCGAGTTTTGTACCACACCCAACTTTGGGGGGGGCTCTGACGTCATTCTCGGTCGCGGTATTATTGTAATTTTCAGTGTTGATTATGTTGATATATTGATCTTCTCAATACACTTTACTTCATTCATGTATGTTTTGTTGTTTTTGATCAAGAGTGATTTCAAACTCTGGTAAAGTTTCTTTTGGACGTCAGTTTATTAGAGGCCCGGCGTCTAATAGAGGAAATACGGCATGTCTTGACATTGTTCTCAAATGTTTGGTTTGTTTATATTCGTGTTCTCAAAGGGTAACCAAAGCATATGCACCGATATACCGACAGTAACAATAACAGCTGTTACTAGTTTTCTTCCTAAATAAATCATCTCCACAAAAGACTTTGTTTCTTGTCCTTAATTTGGTCAATCCATTGGAATATCACATACTGATATCTACGTAATAAAATAGCAGCTGAATTCACTACCTTCAATATAGGTTACATTTCTACACTACATAATGCGCCTTCTCTATGTATCCACACATACCTGTGTGATCCCTCCCCTGTGGGATATCTAGGTAAGTCCGTTCACACCCAGGCCCGTGCTCGGTATTTACGAAGACTGGGCTTATTTATAGATGCTGGCTTATGTGCCGACACGTCACATACAAAGAGTCCACAAGTCAACCCTGTCTTGCTCGACAGATACTGTAGGCTTCTTAATTCCACACAACTTTCAGAGTCCACTTGCACAAAGCAATCTTAGCGCTACGACCATCGTAAGCCTACGGCAAGACAATCAAGGGAGACAACTTAGTGTTGACGAGAGATTCAAATTTAAGTTTTTAGGCTACTTTAAGATGTATTGTTAGAACTATCAACACACTAACTTGAGAGTCATTTTAAAATCTTTCTGTGACCGACAATAGTTTCATTTGGACGTAGGCACTTCTTTGCGGTACACTAGGTTATATACTGAAGTCAAGCTACACCTTAAAATTATCTCTAAATTTCAAACTTAATGGATTTCAATATCTACTCTTTATTGAGTATGATCTATTTATAACTATGTGATTTTCATCCTTCGCAGCAAATCGCAGTCAAAGAATGTCAATGTGTTGACACGGATTGGCCACCGTTGTTCGAAATAATCCGTGATTATTATTTCTGAAATTGTAGAATTAATTTCTTGGGCGATGGGTTGCATATCATATCCTTAAAACTATCGGCTGAAGACACATCTGTCGCACGCACGCACGTGCACAGAGGAAAAGCTTGTTTTGAACTCTGAATGGGTTAACATTTTTTGTGTACTCATGAAGTAAGCCTTTTTTTGTTGTATATTTCACGTAAACAACCCTCCCTTCAAATAATCGAACACAAACAACACAAATTATTATATTGGTCGCAATGGTTTATTTCATGATATTACAAAATAATAGAAAAATGTCGGTTTCGGGTATATGGGATAATGATGTACCCGAGGACAACCAGAATACTTTGATTAAATGCTGGGAATGGAAGGTATAATCTCAGTGGAGACCTATGTACAGGTGAGGATTGACGGATGTATACAGCTGAAGACAGCCGAGTCTGCAGCCGACGCACACCATTCAGACTATCCGTCATAGTGTTGTATATGGGTTACACGTGCTATGGGTAGGACTAGTTGTCACGATAGCTTAGTTAAATAGACTGGTACAATGCGTACGTACATTGTCAGTGCAGATCTAAGGTACACGCGTTTTTTCATAAATTGGAATATACAGTAGTGTGTCTTGTGCCATGGACATATCAATACTCAAATCTATTTGACATGACATGTTTAAGTACATTTCTACGGAATACACTCTTTCAGAAAAAAAAAAACATCACCAAGTGAGTAGATATCTAACGCCTCTTTGAAACGGTTCTCAGTTACAGTACGGCGTGATGCAGATCATAGATCGTTACTGTTGTGGTGAAACCCACCAGAATGGGCATGGTGTTACAGCTCTTAAACTGTTTTCTCGAACACTCGACCAGCGGTTCCCGGTGGAACAAGGGACGCAAGTCTTCACGACAAAGGGATATTGGTCGAGTGTCCAGCCCCTGTTGTGCACTATACGTCTAGTTTCACCCGATGTGACAGTCAAGAACATCTCGTTATTAGAGTCATGTCACTTTAGCACTATTGCACATTAACGTATATTGGGACACTACCATCGCTTGGGCTCCTGAATTGGGTCATCTGGTGATGCTGACTTACATGTGACAGGTTGATCTGTAGATATTCGGGAGTATAACAATCATCGGTCAGATGGGTTGTATGAACCTGACAAAAAATATAGGGATGGGACATGGGCCCTAGATTGGTTGCCAAATTTACATAGCATGTACAGGTTGTCAAATGGAAATGTACAAACGCATCAACAAACAACCAATTTGAGTAATTATGCAACAAGGATTTGATGAACAATTGAAACAAACTTAACCAGCATTAATGGAAGACGGTTTCTCATTACATCAAAAAATAATAGCTTTTGTCGTGGTTATCAAGTCAACGTCATTTTGACTATTTTTAGAAGGGTGGCGAAAAGCCTCATTCGTCACCACTCGCCCCTTTCCGTAACCTGCTATTCGGCCTGTCCCGGAATAACACGAGTTGGACACGAATGGAAATGCCTCTTTCCGGCCAAGGTAGAAAGTTGTATTCTAAAGCCGTGACTTCGAAAATCAAACCAGACAACCATGGTTTTTCCACATCCAGTTAAATAGCAAATACGTAATGTACAAACAATTTCCAAATAATAACATCTGGTACTCTATTTGACTCCAGTCAAATACAACAATGATTACTATATGAATGTGATAAATAACTTCATGGACAAAGACATATATATATTACTCTTGTCAAACACTACATCATTACGTATCATCTTTTCCAAAGAACGTCGTTTAGTTGACACACGGCAACAAATCAACTAATTGACTTTTGTGAAACTACTTTTGATTTTTGCGGGCTTCTATGGACCATAGCTTCCCTCAATACAATGAACTTACATCTTAATATAAAGTTACAGCCAACGTGATGATTGCACATCTTTCACGTCAACTGCACCATCAATTTGTACGCCATAACAACATAATACCGTTACGTGCCACTTTGAATAATTTCGAAAATGGGAACTTCTCATTTCGGTAATTGTGAACCGATGACTGATATTCATCGTAGATGTAAAAGTGTTTTTTTCTGTGACGGCCGTCGTATGGAGAGACTGACTCAGAACAATGGACCACGTTTTTTTTAATATAGATGGGCAAGCTTGTTTTCATGATATAGTTTTTATTTGGAATAAAGCATTAGTGACCAATTGTGGTAGTTTACATTTTTTATATATATTTGTGAACCGACACATTTTCTTCACACATTCCAAACTGACATTCTCCATTAATGTGTATTCTAACCACAAGGGAGAGAGTAAGATTGCTCCATGTATAACCTATGTAGTCCCCTCAGGAAACCACCTTGTCCTCGTCTTCACATTTCCGCTGTTTTCAATCTGTGAAGCACGCTTTCTTTGAAGCGTTATGTCACCATCCAGTGCTGGGACCAGAAACAGCCAATCAATTCCGTTCGTTCTCACATTGTTGCCAGGCAACCATGTCGTCCCTGTAACGGGAGACTTTTCCCAATGACAACATCATTTATAGATGTAGGGCACATGATATCGGCAACAGCTGCCTTGCAACACTCCGTGCTGCCAGATAACTGGAGGGCTTAATAACCTGCAACATACAACATTTGTTTACAATGACAGCCAAGGGCGTAATGGGCATTCCTGAAATAATACACAATTTAAGCAACACGCACTTAATCGCATGACATTTTCATTTTCTTGCATAAATCTACATTTATTTATAATTTTATTAAATATTTTTAATCCGTTGTCATAGGAACAAAACGCAAATAATATGGAGTCGTTTCATTTGTTTCGAAAGTAGGTTATATGTTTCTCCTGCTAACGTATGTGTTGCAGAGATGGGGTTATTACATATCAAAGGAATTCTCTGAAAGGAGTCGTTGGACAGGACCGAATTATCTGTTTACACTCTTTGATGTCATGTTGTTGTCATGATTCAGTAAACAAGTCTGGATTTCGGACACAAATACCGCGTCACGACACTGATTGATATACGGAGCAAATTATGGCGATCTGGCCGCTGAATGATGGCAGTATCTGGCTATTGTTTCCCCAGGTCTGCATTTCGCTGGATCCTGATCACACATTCACACATTTCACACGAATATTTTTGCAAATTAAGGATCTTAGAAATAAACAATATTCCTTCCTGAAGAATGAATGTATTGACAAGAAACGAACAAAAAGGATTGAGGAATCGAATATTTTAAAAAAAGGAAGTGGGAAATATGCGGATAAATATTGTCCGATCATTGTCAAGAAGGAACGGGTTTGAGACAAGTCAACAAAGAGCGTAGTTGGGTTCATTCATAAAATATTGACGTCCAAATGTTAAATAGCATACTTGGTGGGAGGTTATAATGGACTTTAACAGCATTTCAAAAATATTGAATATAATGCAATACAAATATGAGTGAGTGAGTATGGTTTTATAATACGCCGCTTTTAGCAATATTCCAGCAATATCACGGCGGGGGACACCAGAAATGGGCTTCACACATTGTACCCATGTCGGGAATCGAACCCGGGTCTTCGACGTGACGTGCAAACGCTTTAACCACTAGGCTACCCGACCGCCCCAATACAAATATGACTTTTTTTTATAACAATTGAAGAAAGGACACATTTCTATGAGGTTCATGAATAATTTTCATTAGTAAAATACTCTATTTCACTGCAACAGCCAACAATTACTCATCGTCTGCCATCTGTCAACCTGTCTATTAAATTCACATTGTATATACGCTCTCATTATTTTGGGAGTGGAACGACATTTTTGAAATACCCTAGGCTTTCATATATCGTGACTTACATAACAAAATACTTACATGAAACTGGGGCACTGTATGAAATAAAGCTACACGGTTCTTTTTAAGAGATTTAAATCGACCTTTTATCATGAAATTCTTTAATCCTTCGGACTCAAAGAAGAACTGTAGTCAGTCACGTCGGTGTAAATATGGCGGTCTCGCGTACCTTTATGTACCCCCTAGTTTCACCCTTTCACCGTCTGTGTCGGAAGGAGCAGTGAGCGAGCGGCTTCTTTTGTCCCCCGCTCTCTTGACACCCGTGTAGGGTGACAGAATGCATGCAGCCATACACACAACACGTACATCGCCATAACCGAAATACCTACTCCATTCACATTTCAAAACATAGCAACTACATTCAAGGAAGATTCACCTTCTCACCTAGCCTATTCTGATCTTTCCGAGGTATTTACTTTCCGTTATGCATAACCATGAAATTAGGTAACTCGAATAAACAATTACCAAAATGTAGAAATGGTCTTAATTATTATGAGGGAGGAAGCAAAAATAGAAATGGACGAAAACATGACTGTCCTGATCAGACGATCAACTGCGATCTGAGTTCGTGACCTGCACGCCGTGTTGCTTGGCAACAGGTTGGTCAAGTTGGGTATGACCAGACGTTGGTCAGGGCAGGGTTTGGGTCGTGATAAAGCTTGACTTTTGTTTCAGGGAATGATTTGTTGGACCAGGTATGACGAGAGCAGCTCCTCTGTACAGGACAGATGATAGATTTATTGTCAGGCTTGTTTAGCCCTCTCCCCGGGACGTCGACAGTCGCTGCGGTTGCTGGGGAATGTTAGCAAAATAGGGCAGGGTCGGTGGAGGATACATTTGTTTGAAGGTGAATACAATTCAGTATTGCCAAGCGGTAAATCTCAGACTTTGATCATTGGGAATGGGAACCTCCACCTTGAGTTTCTTGATATATGGTTAAGCACCAGTACCTACATGACACTTTTCTTTCCTAAATTTATGATAAAATAAGTATAATTTTTTATCAATTATTTTTGTGCAGCATTGGATGCTTAAACACATACATGTATGGATTTTCATGCAGGGAACTTCAGAAATGAATACTTGTAGCCAAATAGATGTACAGTAAAACAGTTGTCGAATATTTCGTAGTTCGTAGTCTGTCTCCGAGAAAGTTGAGAATAAATTTAGAAAATAAGTAGTCTAAAGTTGGTAAGTGTAAACTAATTAAGAATTGTTCTAGGTTCCATTTGGATTTTATGTTTTAATTTTTGTAGCTACATATTTTTAAATACGATACGTTTAGTTCTGGGACTAAATGTTAGTCTACCGACGTGTGACGCGCGGGGTGTTATGGGTGCAAATTCACGAGGACTCACTGAACAGAAGTTATTTTCATCCTCACCCACTTCGTTTAGTTTGTTTTCATGCAAGAGTGATTGAACTTGTTCCTGGATAAACCTTCACTTTATACGAAAAACACTCCAACGACTAACCCTGTGAAACCGTCTAATACATTCAATATGTAAACACTTTACGTTTCGTTACATACACGAAAGGTAAACTAAACAGCTTTGTCTATTGAGGTCAACACCCGCTTCTCTCCCGCTTATTCAGAAAGCATTTAAACTTTCCCGAAAATTGTATCTGTGGTTTATTAGGTCATGTGACACGCTAGATGCCTTGCATACTTCAATCTGGGGAAGGGGGATGTAAATCTACCCAGAGTGGCTTCACCAGGCAGCGGGGTGTGAATCGTTATTGGCTAATGATACAGCTGCGCGCACCTATGTTAACAGAGTGGTGTGGAACCAGTGTTATCTATACAATGTATAGGAGGAGGCGCTTGGTGATGTGAAGAGGTCCTTGACACGACCATACTGTAATTGGAAGTCGGTTAATGGGCAGACATCATTTTCCCTTGAGAAACCAGCGAATATAACAGACAAAACTTTAATCAAGTCATCTATAATCATGAGAATCTCACCTGAGGGCTTATATGTTCAGACAAACATTCAAATTATGGTTTTCTGTATGTGGTTAGGCTCAGAGCCCTGTAATTCCATACACTCCAACCGTGTTTTACCCAGGTCAGTAATACCGTACGCATTCAATGATTTCACATGAAGTAGGACCCAATAAGCACCATTTTCGGTTTTCGCACAACCCGATACATGGGAAGTTGTTGCTTTGAGGCGTCCTGAAGAATCGACATCGGATTTCGGATTTGCGCGTGTTATTGGGTATTTGATACCAGGAGATATCATTTGGAACCGGCAATGATACACTGGATGAACGCATTTGCTTCCTTGATAACTGAACACGAATGGTCAGCAGAATGTGGAGAGTAAAGCAACAAAGTTTTTCTGATAAATACTGCGTATAAAAAACTTATATAATATGCGGAATCAACTTCGAATGGCACGAGCTTTTTCCGGATTGAAAACGCAATAAAAGTCCAGATGATTTCCGGAATCCAATCCCATTTAACAACTTTTTTCAACCAATCAAATTGCGGCACACACTCGCATTCATTTTAGAGCGCAATAACGGGGGACAACCTACCTGAGAAATCTCCTCTTGGCCCGGGGGAGACAGGTGGGCTTTCCACCCCCTCGTCGTCAGACCCTATGTAGTTATCCAAGAACTGGAACGCCTCAGCCGTCACCTGGTTCCCTGAAGCAGAAATCATTGTACATACACATCATATTCATAAACGATATTTTGAAATATCTTAAGGAAATTGGTCCTTATCATAAATTGTGAAAATATGTTGAAATAACATGCTTTTGTCATGATTATCATAGTACATATATTTGTCTTGATGTTTTAACTTTATCTATCTAGTTTCAAGTAGTTTGTTTCACATTGAGTGTGCTATTTACCTTGATCTCTTACTGCGAGTATTTTTAATAAATGAATATACCGTTAGCGTCGTGACATGGCTAAAATATTGCCGATGCGACGTTAGAGATTGACTCACTCTCTCAGTCACAATACTGGGGCGGTGGAGACTGAGACCAGTTTGACCAAGGCTCCATTTCAACATGGTGCGGTTATATTTCTGCAATACTTTGGAAAGTGGCGTAAAACTACACTCATTCATTACCCTCAAAGAATAAGCAGGGAAGCTGTATAGCGGGTAACGGCACCTGGATTATCATTCTGTGCACATGTTATATACAGTGAAACCTCGTTTATCCAGATGTTAAAATATACAATAACACTACCAAGATCAGCAGATAACCCAATAAACGGGTCAAAGGTAATGAGTTATGTCCCTTTGTGCATATTTCCCGATTGCGACCGTCCAGGAGACGGGCTGTGAGGAGCTTTTAGCAATATTCCAGCACTATCACGGCGGGGGACACCAGAAATGGGCTTCACACATTGTACCCATGTCGGGAATCGAACCTGGGTCTTCGGCGTGACGAGCGAACGCTTTAACCACCAGGCTACCCGACCTCCCCTCAAAGAGTGGGAGGTCATGGTGTCATGGTCCTGGCGTAAATGTCTTAGTCGCCAATTCTTAGTTATGTTACAGCAAAAGAAATTTCGCTTGCCCGAACAATAAGAGAAATATAGATTTTCAATCCTGCTGCTTTCCTTTTGTGTGAACGGACTGTCTTTAAAACTGCTTTCTGGGGTCCTTTAAACAAGGTGAATCATTAATTACACACGCTCCGTCCTGTCCTTCCCCGTGATTGTGGAGGGCACACGCGTATGCCTAATTCACAAAATCAGCACAGCAACATGACTTTATATCGATCAAGTATTTCTTTGCTATAAAGGCACAGCAAAGTGCAACCGCGGTCCTACTTCTACCATATGCCATTAAGATATGTGCATTTTTCAAAGCGAGGTGAGTTTAAATGGGGTTTAACGTTGCGTTCAAGATAATGGCACCTATATAGGGACGTGCATGCACGTGTGTGTGACCAATCTTAAACAGCTGGCACACTGAGATATTAATACGCAGCTTAACACATGAGTATACTGACATCGAGCCTACTAGTCTTTATTTTTTCCCCTTAATATGCCGAGCGTCACTCAGGGTAACAACAAGTACCATCTTTTAACGTCTTTTGGTATGACGCGGCCGAGGATCGAACCCCCGTCCTTCCGTAGTCGGGGCAGACGTTACATGTCTCAGACCACGGAGGCGGTTCCCATTTGGTGAGGACGGTAAAACAATACGATTACACAAGTCGTGTTATACTAGTTGTGTGTGCCAGGGTTACTCTTTACATTTGAGTGCAATTAGGCAAATTCGTGTCTACCCACGCAATAGTCCTAACGTGGCTCACGTTTAGTTAAAGCATATCGATGCTAAAAATACAACATTTCGGATACGACAATAGCAGTGGGTATTGTCATAGACTTGCCACATGGTTTAGAAGAACACATTATATAAACAAATCACGAACGAGTCATTACAGATTCAGATTTCGGGCAGGAAGACAGCTGAGGGATACATGAAACCAATGTCAAATATGGAGATTCAACTGTATCAAGTATCAGCGTAAATGGCATACGTTAGGTTGTTTGGGGAATATGACAATTTAAGGCAGAAGTGAGTTCAAAGGGGGTCTCTTGTATGGACCAATTAGGGTTAAATATTGACCAATCAGAGCGCTCTTTGCCAGCTTCGCGCAATGTCGTGTAAACTTGAACCCACGATGGTGTTTGCTGTACACACAGATAATGTGGAATAAGCGTCAGGTAACGTTTAAAGTTGACAAGAATTCCCAAATCTTTAACATTCGGTAAAAAGTGAAAACGTGAAATGTTAGAAAAAATTCCACGTGGTAACTGACGGAGTTTTGACAGCTGTAAGCGAAGCAGAACATACGCACAGTATCCCTCAGGTAGTTTCGTTTGTCATGGTGTCTAAACAAAGAAACTGACATCTTTATATTTGTCATATTTGTACGCGGTATTAACGCTGGCAATAATTCAACTCAATGGAGAAAATAACTGTGATGATTACCTTGAGTGATAAGCCAAAAATATAGAATGTCGATTATGTAGGCGATAGTTTTTGGCAGATTGATCATTCGACCTGTACACAACACACTGCTAGTCACAACAGACCAGACGACACTTCTTCATGCTGTATTTAGAATTGTTATATCTTTCAAACTGCTGTCTATCTTTAATAGGGGTTTAGTATAGCCATACCCGTATTACGTCACATAAGGCAAGGTAGAATATAAAAAAATAAGTTTGTTTGAATTTAAATTAGGTTCCTTTTAAATCACTTATAATAATTATTCAACCTGCTCTAACATAATAATATTTGAAATATTATACCTTCTCCTTTGATGTAATATGTTTGTTTGTTTGTTTGTTGTTTAACGCCGCACTCAGCAATATTCCAGCTATATGATGGCGGTCTGTAACTAATCGAGTCTGGACCAAACAATCCAGTGATTAATATCATGCGTACCTATCCACGCAATTGGGATCAATGACATGCATCAACCAAGTCAGCGAGCCTGACCACCCGATCCCGTTAGTCGCCTTTTACGACAAGCATAGTCACCTTTTACGGCAAGCATGGGTTGCTGAAGACCTATTCTACAACACACAAAAAACAACAACAACAACAACAACAACAACAAAAAAACATATTCCGTCAAAGGTGAAAGTATAATATTTTAAATATTATGATGTTAGAGCAGGTTGAATAAAATCTGCTATTGATTCACAATCTTAAATATGTCCTTATAATTATGATAGTTAACTGTGTGCGGGATAAATAAACTAAACGTGAAACTTAACGGTAAACTGCCTATGGCAATGCGTAGTACTATAAAGTCTCACATACCGGCATGGTAAGGAGATTTATACAGTTCATAATGACAGAACGAGTCTAATGTAGGGACAGTGCGCTATTCATGAATGGCGTTTCATAACCTTTTGGTAAATGTAAGTATTATCACCTTCCCATATAACATTTCGTTATAACGCCCTTGGCAGTACTCCGAGTATGGGAACGCCCGCCCCATCGCTAATTTAATCTCAGTGGCAGACACAGCTATAAGCCACACGTTTCATAAACCCACAGATGTATCGGTGATAAAAACAAAAACAATTTATTACAGCAATAACTCCTATCGATCATGAGTAACCGTCCCACCTCAGATGATCAGCGTGTATTGATGTATTTGTTTGGGAATCCTGGGCGTGGTTGTCGGACAACTATGGGTTTAGTGAGCCTTGCTATTCCCGTCGCTTAAATTACGGCCTGTGTAAGTTAAACACGGATTGTCCCCTCTGTACACAAAATACCGATACGGAGGGGAGACAACTGCAACTGTTTTCAGACAATGTGTAATTATACCCCTCCATGGCGAAATGGCGAGTTTATTTATCTGTTCAAATATCGCATGAAGATCGTGTTTTTGTCACTGATCGGTATATTTAACAAAGTCCTAGGTTTGTGGGGATGTGTCCCCATGTCAACTCGATGTGAATAGGGTTTTGGAATCTGAGTTATGAGCATATTGAATACCTTATTTCCAATATTTGTCTCGGACATTGTTTAGTGTTTGTATAGTGGAGCAAAAACATAAAAAAGGAAACAATTAATATTTTGGGATAGGCATATCGACACAATCACAGCTACAGCCATTTACGTGCCCACAAAACGTCGGCCTTAATGTCAAAGTAATGACATGTTCCACAGGTTATCTTCATCATCATTCAGTACATGTATTAGCAAAGTCAACTTGATCGATTATTTCAACTTGATCATTATGATATTACTGTTTGTATTGATACATTTAGGACTTGTCAATTTATCTTGTGGGGATAAATAAACTGTAATCGATGATGTTCGGCAAATAATATGATCTGAATTCAGCAAGCAGTTGAGATCTATGGCACAGAGTTTGGTAAGTAGAGAAAGATGGCATTGTGTTACACATGTCGAGATAGACGATGTGGTGTTAGTGAGTGAGTGAGAATGGTTTTACGCCGCTTTTAACCACTAGGCTACCCGACCGCCCCTCGATGTGGTGTTAGGCAAGTCGAGATTGATGGTGTAGTGTTAGAGAAGTCGAGATAGATGGTGTAGTGTTAGACAAGTCGAGATAGATGGTGTAGTGTTAGGAAAGTCGAGATAGATGGTGTAGTGCTACAGCAGTCGAGATTGATGGTGTAGTGTTAGGCAAGTCGAGATAGATGGTGAAGTGTTAGAGAAGTCTAGGTGGATGGCACAGTGTTAGAGAAGTCGAGATAGATGGTGTAGTGTTAGGCAAGTAGAGATAGATGGTGTAGTGTTAGAGAAGTCGAGATAGATGGTGTAGTGCTAGAGCAGTCGAGATAGATGGTGAAGTGTTAGACAAGTCGAGATAGATGGTGTAGTGTTAGACAAGTCGAGATAGATGGTGTAGTGTTAGACAAGTCGAGATAGATGGTGTAGTGTTAGGCAAGTCGAGATAGATGGTGTAGTGTTAGACAAGTCGAGATAGATGGTGTAGTTTTAGAGAAATCGAGACAGATGGTATAGTGTAAGACAAGTCGAGACAGATGGTGTAGTGTTAGGCAAGTCGAGATAGATGGTGTAGTGTTAGACAAGTCGAGATAGATGGTGTAGTTTTAGAGAAATCGAGACAGATGGTGTAGTGTTAGACAAGTCGAGACAGATGGTGTAGTGTTAGGCAAGTCGACAGGGGGCTAAGAAAGTTGATCAGGGATACACCACACAGGGATACTAACAGAAAAACGGAAACGGAAACAGAAACAGAAACAACCTCATGTATTGAGCAGACATTGAAGCCGTGTTTGTCAACAGGAGCTCACTTCCAATGTGTTGTATGTCAGGAATGCAGTGAGATGTCGAATAGGTAAGTGATTCTGAAACACCTGAGTGACGCCGCGGCTATCTACTTATTCATCTCCTTGAGCCACATCCACGTTCAAGGTAAATAGTTAAACCTTTTATACCTGCCCTGTGCCAGGTGGGCTTAAACATAACGGTACATAGAGGGCACTCTGAGTCAGATGAACTCGTCCCCAATCCCGTTCACTTTTTGTAAATAAATATGTTTAAATCAAGCAGCACGGGGGAGGCGGTGGGTGGCGCTGTTAGTCGTCCGAGGGTATCCTTTAATATTACCTTCTCCGTTGATATAATAAAAATAACTTACATTAATGGCACTTAATCTTTGAATAAAGTTGAAAGCGAAATAGCATCGTTACGTCAAACATTTAAAGGGACTGAAGGTTTTACATCTATGAATATGACCAACGCCCCTTTAATGTCCCCATCAACACGACAAAACATACGAGATCTCCCAACCAACATGAGAAACAAAACTACTATACACCTTTAGATCCGAGATCTCACAACCAACATGAGAAACAAACTACTATATACCCATTGGTCCGAGATGTCCCAACCAACATGAGAAACAAACAACTATATACCTGTTGTTCCGAGATTTAACAAATAACATGAGAAACAAACTACTATATACCTGTAGGTCCGAGGTCCTCCGACTGTGTGGCGCTGAGGGGTGGATGAAGACTGCCATCAACGGAGTCCAGTCTCTCTCCCGTCACCGGATGTTTCCGCTCCCGTGTCCCGGATGTGATGTGGATCGAGCTGTCTGACACATTCACTGGAACAGATGCCGTCACATCGTCCACACGTGTGCTCGTGCGTTCCACGTGACCTGACTTGACTTGACTGGCACTAGAAGCTACACTCTCTGTTCTGATGGCACTCGCCCTCCGAGAGTCTCCACTCCCCTCGGTTTTTTCTATAATCATTTCCTCCATCCGGGCTACTATTGGGTTCTCATAGGCCTCGTCTCTGTGTATTCCAAGTTTATTCGGAACTGCATACACAGACCCCTCGTGCGTATAATGGTTTGTTATAACCTCAGTTTCTACAGGTTTGGGTTTTTGCTTTTCATCATCTGTTTTATTATAAAGGGGTCTTGTTCCCTTTCCTTTCTTATCCTGCAACTTCATGCTGTCTGTAGTGGGAGGCTGGGAAACTGCTGATGGAGGCACTCTCACGGGAGCTTTATTCTCGAAAGCTGGATTGTCATATGCTCCTGCCCTCAAAGAATCTAAAGATTGTGATTTTTGTTGCGAAACTTTCACATGACCCGCTGAACTTGGCCTGGAATGCTGGTCGCTTCTAGATTTGTCACTGGTTGACTGATGCGAGTGACCAGAATGTCTTTTAGAGTTATCCCTCTTGTCCCTGGGTCGACCACTGAGGTCACTGTGCGACCTGTTTACCTTCTTGCTGTCTCTATGATGGCGCTCGGCGGAGTCTCTGTTGATGAGGCGTGACCGCGAGTGGGTCAAATCTAAAATCAACCACAGTATTGTTATGCCTTACATAAAATGATACCTGTTGAACAAAATATCACACTTCCTCTAACAAACGGTCTTTTATTTAAGCAAACTGTTGAGAACTAAGAACAAGTCACCAGTGAATGGACAAGCACAAACATCATCCTCTAGTAATCTTAATGAAACCTATATCACCTATATATTATATACAAAAGACAGATGAGGTCTTCAAGGTCAAATTTCTGTTAGATCTACAGATATATATGTATCACCCTTATTTCAATTTCTATGTTAGTTCAAATTCTATCATGCTTTATATATAACGATGAACAATGTTAAATGCTATCCAGATAATAGTTCAAACATTCTGCAAAATAGTCGTATTAACTCACCGTTATATTCATATATACTTATAACACCAGGTGCTCTGGATGTGTCCACAACTTCATAGACAGGGGTCAGTTGCTGACTGTGGTATATCCTCACATTGCCCTGGTACACTGCATGGCCCGGAGGCGGGTGTCCTGTAAGTGGTAAACATCATCATGATCAACATCATCATCATCATCAATACCACCACCGCCATGATGACCAACGCCACCCTTATCGTTCCACACGGATCCAATACACAATTCTCACTGTCACCACAAGAATCGTTGAAAGAACATTGACAACAAACACCAAGGACGTGAAGTTTCAATTGTCACAAATTCAATCATGAATTTTGTAAAACAATTCCGCACAGCAGCCGATGCCAATAAAACAATTTGAAAACATCATTTACCCGAAGCACGTGTAAATTTCCTTTCAAATGAAGTTTGCTTTATAAAAGTTGATATGGAAATACATACTGACTTGACCACTAACTCTTCCTTCCCGAGTTAGAACTAAATGTGAGGTGAAAGTTAGGGGACTTACATCTAAACCAGATAAAACGAAACTGTTGTGATAGCGTGGGAAAAGGGCTGAAGTCGTTATAAATGTCAATTTGCCCACATTTCTTTGGTTTACGAAATGAATAAAGCGTTTGTGATCACGTCTAAAATAAACGACTTTCAAAACATACCCATGCATGCAAGAAAGGATTTTGGAGAAACATTTCCTGTTATTGGGTAACGTAGTGTTTTAAAAAGGCTGTATGTGTTTGCTGCTGATCGTGCCTATTGGCGTTACATGTGAAGCAGCGTTAGTAAGACACTACAGCTCGATCTTTTAGCAGTCGTCATGTTTGTTGTATCTGTACAAATGTTGACATGTAAACTTGTTCGTCTTAACCACATCGTCCTTTGGGGTTTACATATTTGACGTTGCCTCAACTCGCCAGAAACAGACGGCATTTCTGCGTCTCAGTGCGAAAACACTTTTGACATTCAAAGTTTACATACTTCTCTGAGAATGTCATCATAGGCTTTTGCTCTACAAATGCATACAGAGGGAGGTTGTATGGTTAAAGTTTAAATCTCTCGATTACTTGATGGAATGAGTCACTGACAGCCCCTGACGGGTTGTGTAGGGAACACTGGTGTATTGTCCTATAATTAAATACTTAAGGTACAACAGGGCATTGTAGACTTTCATTTTCGGGTATAATGCACGTCAACATGGGGGCGTTTCACAGCATGTATTGTACTGTTCACATTGAACACGTGGCCCGCAACAATGTGTTGGGACGAAGCAGGGCGGAACTGGGGTCAGAAAGTCCTACACCTAAACGAGACTTTGTTCTGTAAGATGGTAGTGTTTCAACATGCTTCAAGTCGGAGACCTGTGTTTGCGTTACACACATACTTGTTCCTTGTTACCCCAAACAAATACAGCCACTGTTACAAGAAAACGTTTTCATTATATATCAGCTCCGAGTACCCATTATAGTTATTACATTGTTCATGTAAATTTTTAAAAGTCATTTTTGCTCACTGTCCACATCCAACTATAAGGTAAGGAAATGTGAAATAATGGCAAGATGGCAAAAGAGGTGGATAGATCGGGAGTTCCACGGTAATTATTGTACTGCCAGTGACGCCAGTGCCAACCAGCGCAAACCAACTCACTGACCTTGATCATTTTGAACGCGCGTTATTTTGGACAAAGACGCATTCTTCTTCAAGCAATCCAATCATATTCCTGTGCAATCAAAGCTGTTATTCCGTTTGTTATCACAAATATAATCCCACTCACGAGATTCACCGTAGATAATAATAAAAATATATATTCCGGGGAACCTGCGTTGAGAAACGATTACAGTGACACTCCGTTAATCCGGATCCCTGCTATCCGGATTGATACCGTGTCTCATACATACCACCATACAAAGATACATTTCTCAGACCTCATTATTTGTAAATTCAAAACATATTACCAGATGCGGAATACCTTGTTTTGATTTTGAGTTTCACAGCATGTATTTTGAGTTTCAACCAACCTTGCAAACGTAGTTCTGAAGCTGACCTCTGAACCCCGGGTTCCACTCTATATTTGGGGTTTGGTCTGCCGTAGTACATCCCCTGATTCGGGGCTGCTTGGTACACCGCAGGGGCCTCCACCCACAAGCCATTCCCCACCTTAGGAAGGCCCCTTGGGTCAATGTGACTGAGTGTTGAGTGTTGACTTTGGTGCCCAGAGTCCGGGGTAAGATGGTGGAACTTCTTCTCATGTCTCTTCTTCTTCCTCTTGGACCTGTTAGGTGTTAGAAGATCAAGCAATGTTATTTTGGTCGGCATGACGTTGGTATAGATTACAGGTCCAAACACAAGTACGTCTCTGTGTTTTGTGAAACTATTTGCCGTCAAATCTTATATAGTGAATGTCGCCACCTACACACCACTTACCACATTCTACTGGAGTTGCTGGTAGACTGGCTGAAGACACACCCGCTCTATACCTGGGTGTACTGTGTGTTACTACCTACGTGTGATGACAATAGTGAGAACCTGTTTGGGATTTAAGGACGTGGGTAGGTCTGATTCATCACAGTTGCATGGTCAGGACGATTAGATAGGAGCAATTTCAGAACAATCTGTGAAGCTTCAGTAGCTCTCTGTGTTTGTCACGGACTGCTGGATGATAGATATGACACACACTCACTCATAGGTCGACAAACGAACTACCACACTTAAAATTCATAGATTTGGCATGCCTGTGTTGACTGTTTCCATATGCGCCTGAACAGATGACTCTGGGGCTTGAGGAATACTTTCAGATGACCCCCTAACCAGTTGACCCTGTGGCTTGAGGAATACTTTCAGATGACCCCTTACGCAGCAGACCTTGGGGCTTGAGGAATACTTTCAGATGACCCCTTACACAGCAGACCTTGGGGCTTGAGGAATACTTTCAGATGACCCCCTAGACAGCAGACCCTGGGGCTTGAGGAATACTTTCAGATGACCCCCTACACAGTTGACCCGGGGGCTTGAGGAAAACTTTCAGATGTCCTTCTAAACAGTTGACACAGCGGCTTGAGGAATACTTTCAGATGTACCTCTAAACAGTTGACCCTGGGACTTGAGGAATACTTTCAGATGTCACCCTTAACAGTTGACATTGGGGTATAAGGAAAACTTTCAGATGTCCCCCTAAACAGTTGACATTGGGGCTTGAGGAAAACTTTCAGATGCCCCCTACACAGTAGACCCTAGGGCTTTTGGAATATTTTCAGATGACCCTACATAAGCAGACCCTGAGGCTTGAGGAATACTTTCAGATTTCCCCCTAAACAGCTGACCCGGGGGCTTGTGGAATACTTTCAGATGGCCCCCTAAACAGTTGACTCTGGGGCTTTTGGAATATTTTCAGATGACTCCCTAAACAGTTGACCCTGGGGCTTTTGGAATATTTTCATAAGACTCCCTAAACAGTTGACCCTGGCGCTTTTGGAATATTTTCAGATGACTCCCTAAACAGTTGACCCTGGGGCTTTTGGAATATTTTCAGATGACCCTACATAAGCAGACCCTGGGGCTTGAGGAATACCTTCAGATGTCCCCCCTAAACAGCTGACCCTGGGGCTTGTGGAATACTTTCAGATGTCCCCTAAACAATTGACTATATGCTTGCTGAATAATTTTAGAAGTAACTATTTATTTATTAATACCATGCTTTAAAGTATGTTGTTAATTCGAATTTGAAATATTTTAACAATGCACTAGTGTTGAACATTTGATGTGGTTTGACGAAAACTAATCATTGTAACTAAAACATCTACATATGGCTTCACTGAAAATGTCGTTGAGAGATGCGACAGCTTCAGATTAAATATGCACATATTATCAGGATAATATCAATACATGGTTAGGCTATAAGCCGCACAAAAAGTACATCTAATAGTATCATCCTCACAACTAATTATCCATGCTTAACGTATGACTACAGTAGGCTTACATTCCCACGGTTACATCTGCGCTTAAACTTCCCACGAAGGCTGACACACAGTCGATACAAAATCACGATGTAAGAAATGTTAGTCTAGAGTATATCAGTATACACAAGAAAGGATGTTATAACCTTAGCCAAAAACGGATGGCTTCAATCATATATTTAATACACATTTGCCTGCGAACACAAAGATGGCTCACATTTCTGTATCAACACTCCTATTCGTGTGTATGATATAGCCATTTATAGTTGTGACAGTTTATGGATTGATCTTTATGGCGTGTCTGTGTTCGCTGCCGTGGTGCACGCAGGTCGGGTGTGCTCAAGTGAAACAATGCAAGTGCAACGGCAGCAGTCACCAGTCACGGTTCATCTACATCATCTGCATTATTGAACGTCGCTCTGAGTGTATATCTAAAGCTTATACCTGACCTACTCCTGCTCTTCAGAATATACCCATGCGAATTGTGGTTTATCTTGGATGATGGATCTTTTTCCCAAGCTTTAAGCATTGAATGACATTATAAGGATTGTCTTTTAGTAGTACATTCACTGCGATCATTGTTTTATCCAATGCCCCAGAAACAAGGCTTTAATTATACATATTTCACCAACTATAGTTTACGTTTTATTTGACAATAATTGGTGGTATTGTTATAAATAATTGCAATCATATCGTGTTAATCATATTTAAATGTGACGTATTCGTTTTGGGTCGCTACGCCACATTTTGTAACAGGAAGCACCCTCAGAGGTAACATATTGTTGGATCGATCATATTTCATCTTCAGACATAATTGCCACATTACGAGTGACAAGTTATTGCCAGGTAATTGAGTCTTCATCCATCAACAATAGCTAATTTCTTGCAAGGAAATTTACCTTTTTAGCATTTAATGTACATTTCCTGATGAGGTAGAATAATTGCCTATCTGCCCAAGATGACACGAACATAAACGTTACATTTCCTTCTTACTTAAACATTATCGACATTCTAATTATCTTGAATTTATGCGCATTCATATACAAGATCCAAAAATATCAATTCCAAATATATGACACATTGCCTGTCTATTCATTTATCATTAAAGAATGCTTCAATGTTAATTTAGAAAATAAAATAAAAAAAGTCAATGTCGAGTAACTTTTGATAATCAATACCACTGGGTTGTCAATAAATAAAATGAAATGAACAAAACCTGTCTTAACAAGGAATTACGTCTTGAATGGCACGATAATGGAAGGATATATATAATAAGCTAGTATAAGTGACACTATTTTCCACCATTCCAAGAATAAGATTCATAAGGTATAACAGCAACGACTCCTGTCTACCACCTTGGCACCAAACGCTATCAGAAGTGAGTTAGCAAATACCACAGAGACCATCTAAATGACAAGATACAAGATGGCAGAAACTGGGGCAACTAATAAGCTCTAGATAAGTCTGAGTATACATACTTATATCAACACATAGAACGCACTTCAAAAAGAATGTATTCCAACGAAGGAAGGGTTTGCTGTAGTAATGTCAACACTTTGGCTCTCAATCTCTCACCATACAGCCGACATGACATCGCAGGGTTGCTGGCTTGGCCACTTTCACTATTACGTGCTATATGTCCTGCTTTTCAACACGACTAAAACCTTTTTCAGTACAAACATCCACCCCTGTTAATTGTTTAGGTTGAACAGACAGGCATTCAACACTCCTCCACTCAAACCTAAACGCCATGTTACGGCTGGGTAATACCGTTGACGTGTAAGCGTTATATCTGAGTTGTTTTTGGTTAAGATCTATCACCAAAAATTTCAGAGCCCGGGATGTATATGTATCTAGATATGTACAGCCACACTTAAAATATGTTTAGATATACAAAAGTTATGTGTTTTGTACACCAGCGTCATTACTTGCAAATTGTTTATAATGAGGTCAAACGTCTTTTTCTGGACTTGCTTTTTTCAGAAAAAGACATGAGACCCCCGCTGAGACGTCTAATTTGTCACGGGACTTTAAATGAGGGCCATTAAAGCACACCATGATATATGATCCTGTCGAGTTTTTATTTATACTAATGACACATTGCTGTACATCAGAGTCCAGATATTCGTGCATGTCAAAACTCCTTTAAGCACACAAGATCCTTCGCTGTTCAACGCCTCTTCAGATAAAAAATAAAAAGGGGAAATATTTGATAGAAAAAATAACAATGCTATTGACTCATTTGTCTTAAAAACGTTTGTGATTATTTGAAGTAACTGACCCGCACGTGCAGCAGATGATGCAGGCTATGACGCTGATGATGAGAATCCCGCCCCCAACAGAGCCGCCGATGATGTAGCCGAGAGTAGCGTCATCCATGTTTCTTGTTACCTAGCAACAGACACAATGACATAACATCAATAAAAATATTTAAAAAATATTTCCAGAAATATTTTGAAAAGGTCAGGAAAGCAAGTATGATTATTCTGTAGTAAGATATCGGACGAAATACTTCAATGAGTCCACACTGTCACTGTGTTAATACCAGTTAATATTCGCTCCCTATTAAAGTACTTGATCACAAATTTTATGATGTCATCCATCATCTGCGAATGAAAGCAGAGGACACTTTGATGCAACACAGTTAAGAATTGTCTCACGATAATAGAAATCAGTCATCTTCTCATTACACTGTCACTAAACTGTTGAGAAAAATATGTTGTTGTTTTTTTTAAATAAATAAACATGTTACAGAACAAATAGCTAACGTCGCACGAAAATGCACGTATGAGACACAATTTTACCATTATTATTTTATCAGAAAAGCGGGGAAATATTAAACAGTTTTATCATAAATCTATATAATAAAAAAGGATCTACCCAGACTTTATAGTTATCTCTAAAACTAGAAACAAAATTCAAAAACAAAATGTCGATACCTAAAAAACTGCAGCGCTGTTTGATACATGTAACATCTATTAATTTCTAAACCTGCTTCATGCATATTGAATTAATCCAATTATGATTGGTCAGACCTCGATAGTTCAGTCATGTAATATGCGAGCCTATGTGCATGGATATATGTACTAGAACGCTCACGGCATAATTCACGGTCCGGCCCCACTGAAAAGAACCAGGTTAATCTATGCCTGGATGAACATATTGATTTGAAAAGCCTATAAACAAACGCCTTAAATAGATATGTCAAGGAGCTTGTCGACAACGATCTCTTTGTTCTCGATATTGCCCAATGAATATACACAAAGCTTTTTCATAAAATCAATTTCATGAGAATCATAAACAAATTTTGCCATTGTATAATATTGATAATAAATATACGTTGAAAGAGTTTGCACTATCTAATTCCTTCTTTGAACGAAAACAATGGATAAACAATACAATATTGATATTATTGTAGGGTCTCGAATGTACTGCTAGCAATTTTGCTGAAAGTGTAAAAAATTCATTTAATGCTTTTTACCAGGCAGTGAGCCACATTAGTTCCAGAAAAAAATGCGCTGTAAACGTTTTGATGTTTCTTTATTCAACATGAACACATTCACAAAACAACTTTTTATTTTGAATAAACCCCGCGAGATTGGCCTTCATGGTCACATAATGTATCTGGGCCTGACAATTACATAAAATTAGTTTTTTAAACTGTAATTATAAAGTTCAACTCTTTTATATACTGCCTACTCTCCACCCCGAGAAAATCGGTCGGTCCAAGCTGTGTACGTGATCAAACGTGAAACGTTAATAAATAGAGTATGTCTTACCCTGCGCTTCACGCTCTTATATAATTCAATGTTAGCTTGAGTGCCCTCTTAACAATGCTGTACATAACATGGAGTAAATGAAACCTAATCACGTCTTCTATGCTTTGCACAATGCAATTTAATAACACATATTTCATAGTATTCCGCATTTCCTTTAGAATTCTTCGATTGCTTTGAGAGACCAAGCTCAAAGGTTGCATGACTTGAATCTGAATGGTCATTGACGAGACATTCCGAGTGTATTGCAGTTTGTGACACCGGTTGAGCGCGTGAGTAGAATTCCTGGATGGCCAAACTACCGTGTTTCAATTACCACAAGTGTTATTTACACGAGTGCGGCAAAGCGGGTATTTTGTTTCACAGTTTCCATTCCTATCAACCATTGAATTATTTATTAGGAGGTAAGTTCAAGTGTGCATTGTACATGGGTGTGATGACAGAAAAATATCAACCCTGAATTTGTACATATACGTGATATTCTTGTCACGTCTCGGTCCTGGGAGTGACTACATTTGTACACAGAACAGCATCGAAGGGCGTGGATATTTAAGAAGAATAACTTACATTTTCCAAATCTTTCATAACAATTGTAAACGTAGGCAAAAGAAACTAACATTACTAATAATATAATCATCATGAATTATTACAAATATAACTAGGTAGAGCAGTGCTCTTCCAACAACCCTTTCATCTTGGATATAATAATTATTTGTTTTAGATGCCAGTTATCCAGAATAGGAAATTCCATTTGTGGCTAGAGATATATAGAGATACGAGGCGCCATGGTAAATGAGTGTAGATAAACGTTTATAGGCTACATACCTTAAAGGTGGCGGCGGTTACTTATCATCATAAAAGTATAAATTAATGTCACAGTAAATTCCTTTTTAGACAGTTCTTTGTCTCGTCTGCGTCAGGCATGGTCCCAATGAAACGGCTTTGAGTTCCAGGATTGTATCCATTCGTGTCCCACTGTGTGGTAATGTTCGCCTGAACAAGCCGTGTCGTCACACGGGATAATCAGCGAATAGCGACAATATTCATCTAGGCCGCTTCTCACAGATCCACAGTACAAAGGACTTAGAATATCAACATTAGCTTTCCCTTTTTGGACTTGAGTATACTGTCGTAACCTTAGCATGAATTCCCATCAAGTCATGTGGTCAACTAGCTCTGTCATTGGTTCGTGATGTCGTCTGCTTGTCTCGTGCACACCTGTCGTCTGCTTTGGCAGCTAGCGCGGGATTTGCGGGGTTCGATTACATGTGTTCAGTCTGGCTATTGATTTGTTGAGGAAATCTTTGCACAGAACATTTTAACACTGTCAAGACAGGTAACTTTAGCCATGTGGGACATATCATTACTGGCCGCTGTAACCGGCTTATCACCGTATATCCCACACCTTTGTTATGTAGTCTACTGGCTAATACCGCAGCTCTAACTCTTGGTTGTGTAATTGTGACTTTGCTGTAGATTAAGATACCAGAAAAATACTGCAATGGAACTTAGTGTAGCATAAAGAGTAGGATTACTGTATTAGTGAAAGTTACGTGAGATTAGTGTTAGTCACCGACTAGGGGGTATATAATTTGTAAGCGAGTGTGAGTAAGTACAGGATGATAGTGTAGCGAATCTAAAAATATGTCCGACACTTTGTTCACAATGGGAATCGAACCCGGATCTGATGTATGGCGAAGAAAATCACAAACTAAATGACTGTCATTTTGAGGTTTCATTTTATAAGAGCATATTTAGAGTTTTTATTAACAACATATATGAAATATTAAAAACAGAAACAAACAATCATCTCTGAACATAAAACCTAAATGACAGACAGTTTACGTACAAGATCTCACCTGACTAGTGACTATGACGTCTAAACTGACTAAATGGTTGTCATGTCACACTCTTTGAAAGAATTATTATGTTGAAAGCCACAAACCGTGTTAATACGACTGCCCCGAAAGTAATACCCATACAATACCCATATAATACCCATACAATACCCATACAATACCCATATGTGCGAGCTGGCCCATTACCTCAGGTGAACGCCTCGACCGGGTTCTGACGTAAACGCCCCTGCCCCAATAGAATGTGTTGAAAGTGTCTAACCTGTCCATTGAAACAGCGACACAGACTAGAGGCTTGTCTTTTTTGCACGGTGACTATTGATAATAGACATGTAGATATCGGTATGTGTTGTCGGGTATTATAACCCCATTCCTTTGGGTGTCACGTATTAACCCTGAACTGTCACGTGATAACCACGAGCAATCGCATGTGACGAAATCGATCATCGATCTTCTGTCAGAATTAAGCTACGGAGAGTTACGATGTGATCCGACGCTTTGTCTCCTGGGTGCTGACTGTCTGGTGCTTAGAGAATATACGACGTTTTTAGACATGGCAAAGAGTTACCTTCGAGGTTATATACGATCTTCCCATATACTTCTCTCTACTTATGTCCTCATTTACCTCACCGGGAGGTCCAGAAACGTAATCTGTTATTCACTTTTCACTCCACCTTCGACAGGGATATCCAGGCAATATATTCCAGCAACATTACGTTGCACGTTTGTCTCTGTTGGCAGTGTACATGAGACGTGAACGTCTGACATATAAACTATCTATTCTGTATTGAAGTCGTGCATAACATTTCCCAAACATGCTGAACGGCACATATTTTATTGCAGCAGTACGTGATGTTACGTGGGCTCTTCTATTTTGATAGAAATTCAATTTATTAATGGTTTGTCCCAGGTCATACTCATAAAATCAAATCATAGTTCTCGCTACATTTTAATGAGATTGGTTCTAGGTCTGCGAGTTACTGATATGTGGACTGCTATGCAGGTCACGCAACACCTGTGCAACTGAACCTCCACAGAGGACCACTGGATAGACATGTGAAGCCAGATGAACCTCACAGAGAACCACTGCATAGACATGTGAAGTCAGATGAACCTCACAGAGGACCACTGGATAGGCATGTGAAGTCAGATGAACCTCACAGAGGACCACTGGATAGACATGTGAAGCCAGATGAACCTCACAGAGGACCACTGCATAGACATGTGAAGCCAGATGAACCTCACAGAGGACCACTGCATAGACATGTGAAGTCAGATGAACCTCACAGAGGACCACTGGATAGACATGTGAAGCCAGATGAACCTCACAGAGGACCACTGCATAGACATGTGAAGCCAGATGAACCTCACAGAGGACCACTGCATAGACATGTGAAGCCAGATGAACCTCCACAGAGGACCACTGGATAGACATGTGAAGCCAGATGAACCTCACAGAGGACCACTGGATAGACATGTGAAGCCAGATGAACCTCCACAGAGGACCACTGGATAGACATGTGAAGCCAGATGAACCCCACAGAGGACCACTGGATAGACATGTGAAGCCAGATGAACCTCCACAGAGGACCGATGTATGGGCAGCTGTAGGGTGACTAGGAACATCCATAAGACATGCGTACAGCATCATCATTGGCCATCGTATACCATCAAAACCTATCAAGACAGTTATTACGCCAACACAAAGACATGAGCCTGTCTGCTGCAAGTCTAACAAAGGGTGGAGGTTCCACCTGGTGTGTTTGACACCCAAACATCCATTTTCATAGCTTGCTATGATATAACCCCTTTTATTTGTTTTTCTTGAAATCTGAAATGTTCCTACCCGTATACATGCAGTTTCTGATGCAGTTAGTATGAGACATAAATTGCCAAACGCTTAACATGGGATTCTGGAACCTTATGGTGCAGACAAATATTTGACTGTGAGTCCCAAGAAAAAGACACGCGCAGGCCCAGAAACAGAGAAACGTCGTTGACATGCCCCTGTATCACGTCCGCAGTAAGCCGGGCAAAATACAAAACCAACCTAGCTTTATAACAAGGATTAAACGACAGTATGGAAATCAAATGAAAAACTATGATACGTTATTTCTTGTTCTCAGAAAGTGTTTAGTTAGTTAATAGAGGTAACATGCAAGATACATAGAGATCAGGCGCAGTGCATTACCTTATAAACACGAGGATGAGGTAAAGGATAGACAGAGATCGTTTTGCCTCAAGCCGTGAGACAGAGGGCTTGTGAATGTTCGTTTCAGGATGCCGGGCTGAATGGGCGAGATGCTAACATAGGGGCTGTTGTGAACATCTGCCAGGCCGGCAGAACAACACGGTGTTATCCTGAGGAATTTCTCATTATGCGACGTATTGCTAACATACTGGTGTATTCAAGGGGTTTAAAAACTATTTCTAATAGTTATGTATACGTTTTTTAACATACTATCCTGGTTCGTTCATGTAAACTATGTGGGGTGTCGTGTCAGGCTCGGAATAGCCATAAGGGGTTCTTGTATAAGTATGAGTCCATGAGATGTTCTTGTGTAAGTATTAGTGAGTGAATATTGCTTAACGCCGCATCAGCAATTTTGCAGCTATTCTTGTCCCTGTCACTGCAAACCTACTACCACCGTTTCTACCTGTCAACAACACCCTGTTGTTTATTTTTGTTAATCAACGCCGTATTCAGCAATATTTCAGCTATATGACGGCGGTCTGTAAATAATCGAGTCTGGACCAAACAATCCAGTGATTGTTTTAATGAGCATCAATCTACGCAATTGGGATACGATGACATGCATCAACAACGTTAGCGAGCCTGACCACCCGATCAGCAGACGATGTTTCATATGCTTCGATGAAGTCGGAATCGTTTAATGGACTCTTCTTTTAGCAGGAATTTCTTATGATCATGGAATTTTGTCCCTTTTATTATTACAGTTATTAAAAATAGTAATACCTTCCCACAGAAGAAGATATTTCTCGCCCTTTGAAGAAAGTATTAAACCATAGATCTGCGAATCATCACACACGCACCTGTTGACATGGACACACCAAAGTCATATCTCCACACGTAATGGCGTTGACCAACACACACCCAGGACGATAGCCAACGCTTCAAAGGGTTCAGTCGTGAAAGCCACAATATCAATGGTCCTTGGAACCCCTCAAGATATTATCCCCGTTGACCATAAATTCACCCGGGCCGTCCATTCTATCAGCCAGGTCAGAGACAACAGGGTTGGTGTTGACACTCAACCCACACACCCAGCTTCCCAATACAATATGGAGCTGAGTAACTCAGCGTTGACCACTTGGTGGCTGGAGAAGGTCAAGAAACGTGCCCTCTATACACCCCCTCCCCATCATGACCTTTCCCTCCCTATTGTACCCCACCCTCTAATGTTCTACCCCCACATAGAATGCCCCTTCTATCCCTGTCTCTGCAAACCTTCTATCACCGTCTCAACCTGTCAATAACACCCTGTTGTTGTATTTTGTTGTTTAACGCCGGATTCAGCAATAATTCAGCTATATGACGGCGGTTTGTAAATAATCGAGTTTGGACCAGGCAATCCAGTGATTGACATCCTGAGCCTCGATCTACGCAACTGGGATATGATTGCATGCATCAACCAAGTCAGCGAGCCTGACCAGTCGATCCGGTTAGTCGCCTCTTACAACAAGCATGGGTTGCTGAGGACAAATTCTGACACGGATCTTTACAGGTCTAATAACCACCTGGAACCATATCTCCCCCCCCCCCCCAACACACACACACACACCTCTTTCTCTCATTTCTCCCTTCCCCTCTTATCATACCCAGTATCTCTACCTTTGACCTCCTATCATTTACCTCCCTAATCCTGCCACCCTTTATATGTTCTTTCATCCTTCTCCTTGACTTATCTTGTCTTCAATCATGGCTTACAATTGATGTCACTGGATTCAGCACTCTTGACGTGTTGGGCACACCATGTAGAATAAATAAGTTTAAACAAACTTAGAAACAATACGTCTACACTCTGCACGACTAAAGTGTTTGTCAAATCATGTCCCGCCAACTGTTCATGTAATGGTCACCTAACTATCGTGTCCTCCTTCAATGGATGCAGCTATGTCACGCCACAGGCACTATCAACGCCTTGTGTTTACTGTGGGATCACGCCCTTTCAGTGAATTAGTGATTGCACCAACATGAACAGGAATGACTAAAATGGGGCTGTTCCTGGCCATTTCGACTCTGGAACATGCAGAGATACACACTGTCTTTTTTATAACTGTGTTATTGTTGGTCATGATGGGAAACAAACTTATTCACTCATAGGAACATGTCTGCACAACCATCCACACTTAGTAATGCAGCTGCATAAAAAAAAACTAAGTCAAGAGTGAGTGATGTTCACGCCGCACGTAGCAATGTTC